GCAACAGTTTGTTGGCCATCAGGGTCATCCTTCAGCCAGTCGCGTATCAATAGCCAAAAATATTTACATACGCCGCGTTCGACGCACCGAACTGAAAAGCAGTCCCCGCTACTTTGTCAATGTCAAATGTTCTGGTGGGCGGGCGGTTCGATGGGTGGGTGTCGCTGGTGGATTTTCCATGGCCGATGGTTGGCGGTGGGTGGATGGTGAATGGTGGGTGGCAGTCTGAGTGGCCGGTGGCAACTAGTGGTTCTCATATTTCCACAGTAACAAATTTGTTTACGCTTAATTGGTCTACGCTTACATCGGATCAGGAGCACACAAAGTGGATAGCTTTGTTCGCAAAATGAACTGCCGCTGCCCCAAAATGTATGCTATGTTTTTGTAGCTGCATAGTCGGCGGAATTCTCAATTTAGTTGGGATACTGCAACTCGGATTTCTAGAGCAGGTAATAAAGTGTTACTTAATTATAAAACTATACAATTTTATAAAAATATAAACAGTTTAACTAATGATTTTTTATTAGAAAGTAAATATTGTATTACAGCAATTTATTATTTTGCTTGCAACTAGCAAGTCATATTTTTTTTGATCTGCCAGTAATTTAGATAAATTCTTGTTTATCGAAATTCCATCTAAACTTCTTTACAACAGCTTTACTTCTTGTATATCCTATCGACTATCATTCCTCGATTCCAAGTAGTTCAACTGTACCTCAACTTTAGGCTGCTTTCAATTGCAATGCCTAAGCTGATTAATGTTCAGCTCTCTGAATATCTGTCTAACGAGATGCTTCATCGATTGTCAGCCGCCATTGTACAGTTGATAAGATATATATATATTTGCATGATTTACTTGTGGCGCTTCCATTAGGACTCAGGTCAGGTTGTAAAAATGCTCCTCGGAGATTTGTGGAGCACATGCGAATGTCATATTCGGCCATGTTTTTACCCTCCCACTCATGTATATGTCTGTGTGTATGAATGTGTGGATGTGTGTGTTTGGGTTGTAAATCAGAATGGGAAGGGCAGACAATGGCCAGAGCCATTTGGCATTCACTAAACAGCACAAAGGTGAAAGTGAGTGGGGATGAGCATCTCGACGGTGTCATAAAAAACAGTTTACACATGGGTTCTGGCCCATTTCGCTGGCCATTTTTATACGGTCACCGACGGCAATTCATTCCGGCTCCACATCAAATCCATATAAAGCCCGTTTTAGCGAAGGTGAAGCAGCAGCAGCAGAAAGTCAATTAATCTAATTGCAGAAGGACACTTGCGCACACACACGCACACGAGAACATTCCTTGGCCAAAGGATCCAAAGGTCAGTCGAATCCAATTTGATGCAATTAAATTAAATCCTAAATGCGAGCTAATGAGCACCACTTGAGCTGCGGTCGAAGGAATCCAGGTGGACTCGTATGTGGGTGCTAATTAAAAGCGCAGCCCTTCTGATTGATCATCTGCTGCAGTTCTATCTAACATATTTACCCTTCAATATGTTCTCCCGATTCGGTGGCTAATCAAGGGGATTTCATTATCACCGCTCACACTTCAAATCGAGACCAAATTATTTATAGCAAATGCTCAGTGTAATGGCAACCGGAAGGTGGCAACAGGAAGACGACAGACGGCAGACGACAGCGCAACTCCTAACAAGCTCACACACACACCCACTGGTACACACGCACACACATGAGCCCCAGGACGATTTACTACTGTGTGTGTTAGCGCGCTTCCCTTTCCGCTTCTGTATTGGTGTGTGCTCAAAGATTTCCCTTACCAAGGCAGATTGTTACGCTTTATATACCCTCACTGTAAGATCCAGAACTTTGGATTCGCTTCTGGAGCCAAGAGCTTTTACACAGCATGAATAAAATATATTTTATAGATTAACCACCACAGAAAAAAAAACAAGTCCAAGATAAAACAAAGAGCAACATAAACTCGTCTGCGAAGTAAAATTTTTTTATAACATCGCAGAACGCTAGTTTAATGACAAACATTTTGTTTTTTATTTATCAGTGAATAAATAAGAATGAATAAGAAATAAAAACTTTATGAACACTAGCAAGGCTAAGTCCGTGAAACTAATTTCTTACTTTAATGCAAAATTTTATTTAGAGCTGTTATTAAAAAAGACCAAAAAAACAAACTTCGCACAAAGTATTTGTGTTATTCTTTCATAACACCTCATTAAATAGTTTACAAATTCCACAACTGTTTTAATACATTAATTTCATCTAGGAAAATTTTAAAAAGCATTACAAAAACCAATCTCTAAAAAATCTGTTTATTAAGTACTTTTTTGCGACTTTGATTTAAAAAAAGCAATTTAAAAAATCCTTGCATAACTTTTTCAACCATATTTGCCCCCATTTTATGACCCACATTCCAGAGTTGGCAATTAAAGCAGAAACGCCTGTGTTTATCAATTCCTCTCGAAAGTGCAGCTATCCAGTCAACAAAAGGTACTTCCACAGCATAAACCCTGATGGCTTTCAACCAGTTTTTAACCGATGGATGAAAAAAGGGAGCAATTTCCAAGGATATGCCGAGGTTCGGCCAGCAGGATTTTCGGTTCGAGTAGTTGCTGCTGCTGCAGCAGCCGGCCAGGTTGCGTATTTACCCATCCTTCGCCCATAGACAAACTCATTACGAAAAATGAGCGTCCTGCGGCGCTCAAACAAAGCAAGGACCAAACCTGTAAACGGGCCCCCCGGTCTGCTTCATGTATGCGTGAGTATGCGTGCGTCCGTATGTGTGTGTGTGTGGTTGTGCGTGCTGGTGTGGTGTGTGTCCTGTTGCTTGTTTATGCCAAAAATCATATACACCGCCCACATATCGATTTTGTTTGATGTTTAGGCAGGGCGTTACGGCTTTACGGAGTGGATAGTCCTGGCTTTGGCCCTCGGGCACCCACAAAGCACCAAAAACAAAAGCATACACACTCACACACCCATACACACAATCTGCGGAGCACACCTCATCATTATTTCCGTTTGTGTACTCGTTCCGTCGCCCACATTACGACGTCGCGCCGCGTATTTTAAATATTTAAAGAGCCGTAAATGCCGTAAACTTTGGCCACCCCCAAAAATTTAGAGGGTGTTCCGCAGGAAGCGGAACTGAATGGGAGCCAAAAAGAAAAATATTCTCGGAAATGGTATTAGTAGACAATGATACGGAAGGAATTGAAATTCCGTGTCCTGTCTGATTCTAGTCAGGGCGCCATTGAAAAAACTTATCGGAAAAATAAATGTCTAAATCACAATTTCGGCCTCTACATTTTAAGATGTTAAAGCGTTGCCGAAAAGGTCTTTCATTATATTTTAAATTATTCAGTTAAACAAATTGTTGTTCAGTTTAAAATAATAAAAGAATATATCCTCGTAAACCATTTCAAACTTGTTTAAGAACTCATTATTATAACTCAATTTATGATAAAGGGAGCACTGGTAAATTTTATCACTAAATAAAGAGCTAAGGGCCAAATAAATTTGCTGCTTACTCATCAAATATAACTTAAAACAATTTTCTGCCACTTACCGACTTTAATTACGTTCCAAGATATGCGGAAGGCTTTAAGCCATTCGTTTAACGACTGCGATAATTTGGCCAACAGACCTTACACCCTGTTTTGTGTGGCATTTCGAGAGCTTCCACTTTAAGCCAGTGTTTTGATACAGTTTTTTTACGAGCTGTTCTCTCGTTTTTTATGCCAAAACAATTGGGTTTGTTTGCAGTGGGAATCGGGTTCGCAGTTGCGCTTGACCCGCTTATTGGGATGTTGGCCAGGTCCTGATTGTTGGCCTTTGTGCTCGCCGGGAAATTGTATTCGCGGCCAGTTAATTAGCTGCCAGGGATCGTCCCTCTCGAGGGACTTCATCAGGCGACAGCGACGGCAAAAAAACGGGGCAGATTCTTCAAATTACTTTTGAATAAAAAAAATGGCAGAGGGCAGCAATAACCTTTTACTCGCACTCCCACACAAATAGAAAATATTTAAATTTGGGCGTATTTTAAAGAGACTAATTAACTGAGTAGTTTTAATAATTAATACCAGAGCTTTGAATTTATAATGGAAACTTTTTCCTGTATTCTCTTTGTTATTTAGCAGCAGAATTTTCTAAAAAATGGGCTAGGGATATACCTAACTTATTATTAAAATTATAATTAAAATGTTTTGTAATTATCCATTACAATTCATACTTAAACAAAAATTTATAATTTTAATTTTTAATTTTAAATAAAGCCATAAACCAATTCTAAAATCAAAATTGTTTTTCGGTGCACTTATGAAGGGCGGCTGCCTTTGTGTCTGCTCACTTTTATTTCAAACGGCAATTGCATTGTGCCATTCCCAATCCGCTTATGGCTGCCGCCACGCCCCTTTGCACCATCCAGACCGCTCCGCCCGCCCAGCAAACAATGCACTCAGCAGCAAACACCAGAAAGTCTGTCCCTGGTAAAGTGCTCTGCGTATGATAAAAGCTTGTGTCATATTTTCATCCAGTTTTCTGGCATTTTTTCTTTATTTTTGCATTTGTTGTGGGAGATTTTCCATCTGAGGAGAAGTTTTTCCAACCATGCTTACTTAATGCCAGCGCACTCGAGGACGCTAACCCGCGCTTACTTATAAAAACCATAGTACTTTCATTAGCTTACCACAAATGGACCTTCGCGGCAGCAAGGACGGCTTCAGATCCAGTTTACTCTGCCCACTCACAGCTCATCCATCCATATCCAGTGGTGGCATCCACCTGCCGACGCATCCCCAAACATCTTAACTTCCTGGGGAAAAAGCTCCGCAGCAATCGGCAATGAAATGTGGTCTAAAAACAGGGGAACTTCCCCTGCGAAAAGCTCCGAAAAACGGAAATTTGGCCTTGGCAAAGGAACGACGCAGCATTCACCTTGTGTAATGAACTCAAATATTATTCATAACTAATCAGTTGCAATATTCGTGCAGCTTTGGCATTGAAATGCGTGTGTGGGTTTCTATTAAACTAATTATGTTGCTCTTTATTCATATATATATGTATATTTATAATTTTGCCTGTTCGTTGGATTTTTGTTATGCTTTATACAGTTCGCTGTTAACAATATTGCATTTTTACAAATTTATATTCGCTCGTAAATATAAACAGAAAATAGCTCTGATAGATAATTACAGTACATAACTAGATGATCGGTTGTGTTTTTAATTTAGGTATTTTTCTTTCGGGTTAGATCTTGTCTTTTTCCTAAACGCTACGAGTATTGGTTGTCCGCTTGAAGTATAATACTTGGACAGAGCTTCTTCGCTTGTGTGCTGTGGGGGGAACATCTTTCAACTTACTCGCTAAACACATTGCATGCCAAAAACAATCGCGTTGCAGTTAACAATTGAAGTCAAATTGAACCGAGTGGGACTTAGCTTAGGTTTATACTCTTAATTCGTACTAAGGCATGTTAGATGTTGGGCTCGAAACGACAACATCAACTGTTGTGTAATTTATAATATCGCAAATGGTTTATACAAGTCAAGTTAGATCAAATAAATAAAGAGGCAGCAGAAGCTAAATTAATGCTAACAGTAACATTAACGTAACGTAACGTAAACGTAAACGTAAAGCCAACTGAACAGTATCCCGCCCTTGGTGATTGGGAATTGGGTGGAGATTGAAGATGCAGAGGCCCTCAGCCCCACTACTCGGCATCCAGCGAGAGGCAAGGCAGTCCGGCCAGCGCCGGATGGGTGGACTGGGCGGAGCGGTGCCGCTGCGGCATCGGCTGGCCGTTCTCGCGGTACGTCTTTAGCTTGGTCTCCATTGCCTAAAAAAGCACAAAAGTGGTGTGTTAGAGAAATTAATTTAAAAAAAAAACATTTCCAGGATTTAAAAAAATAACAAGAAATGCTTAATAATGATTCGAATATTTCCATTATTTAACTTTCAATATTAAACAAATTATAGTTCGTTATCAAAGTCCAATTAGTTTATAATATAACGAACCAAATCTTTACTGACTTATAAAATACAGAGAAGTATGTTTACTATTTGCTTGGTTTCCTTTTAGCTGAGGTGACTATTATCACTGACAATTATTAGTCGGAAAAGGAATTTCCTGGTTTTGGTATCTAACATTCAAGACATATAGGATAAGTGCCATTGGGTTCTGGGAACAAGTGCTCAACAAACGAAAAACAAAGACTGCAAAATAAGGTACAAATAATTTTTGTATTTATTAACCAATGCAATTAATAAATGCAAGCGGAGGGCAACTAAAATTAGCCGTTCGGATCGCGGCGCATTGTCAAAGCGGCAGGCTGGCGTCCGGCGAGTTTCGCATGCGCTCCGCGAAGCGCTTGAAAATGTTCGTGCCGGCACTGAGGCTGCCGGATGAGCTGCAATCGCTGGCGGGCGTGGATTGGGCGCTACTCGTGGCCACCGAGCTGCTGCTGCCGCCAAAGGCGCGACGAAAGAGACTTGACTCGCTTGCCGATGGCGGCGGCTGCAGAGTCGCAGGGCGCTCGCAAATGCAGCGAAACTTTTCGCACTCGGGACATAGCAGTGCCTTGTCCCACTAAAAAAACATACGGAAAAACACATAAGCTGGAGGTGGGAGTGTGGATACAGGGAAAAATGTAAACAAAACATAAGGGAAATGGGATTTGGGGCGACACTACACAGCATGCTGGGTTTATAGTTTTCGGAGGGACTTACGTTTAGTTTTCTTAACATGTCGGCCACAATGTTGAGCGCCGTTGTGCGGGAGCTGGGGTTCATGGAATTGCCATTGATTTGGTTCTCGGGATCTGCAAGAGGAAGCACACATACACAGCAGGTTAGTCGAGAGGTTAGTTGGTCAGCTACTAACTACAGACGCACACAAAACGAACAAAAATTCGCCTACAAGAAATGTCGCAAAATCTCTCGTCACATTTTGGGCACTTAATTTTAATAATTTACAATGTAATTACATACAATAAGGAACTTAAACCGGCTAACGTTGTGACAAACAAATAATAAAAAAAAAGAAATAAAAACTATTGAAACACAAAACTAAATGCAGGGCTTGAACATTTGGTGATTCTTGGATGGTTTGAACACGTGTTTGGTTTTCTTTAGGGATCGAAGTATCTTACTTTTAAGCGAGTGCTGCTGGTTATATTCGTTTCTATTAACTAAACTGCCATTTAAGGCGTTCGAGCTGACGCTGGTGGCTCTTGTGGCGACTGCATTGTCGTGATTCGTTAAATCGCCGTTGGCCACAATGCCGTTTGGCAGCGAGGCGGACGAGTTCATGGAGCTGTTCACGGTGTTGGTGTCGTTGGCCGTGGGAACGCTCGTTCCATTGACCACTGGGGTAAAGCGTGACTTGACATTCAGCTCCTGCTTGAGATCTGCAATAAAAAAGGGCGAAATATATAGTGTTTTAGTAAGACCGCCGAAGGGCAAATACCTACCTCTCGTCTCGTCCATCAGCCGCTGCAGCTTCTCTTGCAGCAAACCCTTTTCATCCACTTCCAGCTCGAGGAGGGCGTTCTTTTCGTAGGCCTGATCCAGCATCTTCTCGAAGTTCTCTATGCTTTCGTTCAAAATGCGGTGGGCCCGCTCCAAATCATCGTTCTTCTGCTCCAGCTGCCGCAGATACACCTTCATGGTGTCCCGATCCTTCTTCACGGTTTCCAACTGTTTCTCCATATTTGACATTTCGATGCCATGCGAGTCCAACTTGAGCTAAAGTAAAGTTTAAATCGTAAGAATGGATTTTTGAGATGGCGTAAAAAACAAAAACATGTCCTTAATTTTAACCAGAGTTTTTCAAGGTATTTTTGTGGTTAAGGGGGAAATACAATTAGAAAATTTTTTTTTTCGAAAAATTTTTTTTTGGCTTAATGTACTCCAAATATATCTGGGAGTAAGCCTTTAAAAGCATAAAGCCGTCCGGTACTTATTTTCAGAGTTATACGCAATTTAGTGAGGGTGTGTCATATGGCGGACATGCACAAAAGTAAACTTTAAACGCTTCTCCTGAAAAGTCGTGTTTTCAAAGTCGCCGTGCAATGTACAGGTCAGAGATTTTATTTTAATCGAATGCGGTTTTTTGCATTATGTTTGAAATTAAATTCTCCACACCATGAATATAACGGTTTTTCGTATTTGTTTGTTATAACATGTTTTTTTTACAATCAAAGTAAAAAAAAAATCGTTATTTTTGAAATTTTTTTTAACCTAAAATTTTTTAATGGAAAAATAATTTTTTTTAAATATGGTTTAATTCATGGTGTGCGCTGTACCTTTAAGTTTAAAGCCCAGTTGCTTTTTTTTGTTTAAGTCGTGATCCTGGACCTGGAGACTGCACGGCGCAAAGTCCTTCCCTAAAAACACGACTCCACATTACTGATCATAAATGTGCTTAATTACAATATTTCTCAAAAAACTTGACTGATTTTTATTGCTCAATAATTATCTAATAACATGCAAAAAAAATCGCTAAGATTCATTTAATACCCTACTTGCAATCCACTCCCAAAGATAGCCCTCATTTCAGGCCTTCTAATTGTATTTCCCCCCTTAACTTTGTTTCGTTCACTTTGTCAATAATTCGTAACTAAAAACAATGAATTTATCGTTGTTTTCTTGAAACTCTGTAAAAAATTAACTTTCGTTTAAGTTGTATTTTAAACTTATCCACCTTGAGGGACTCGTTTTCCCGCTCAAACATTGTGAGCTTGGCTGTGAGATCTTTGATTATACTCTGCTTCTGGTCCAGAGTCGCATCCATTTCGATTTCCATTTCGCGTGATTGCTCCACGAACTCGTCGTATTCTTGTTTCACATCTGTCCATCTGGAGAATGTGGTTGGATATGGATTATAAAGTTAAATATATGTATGAATACATGGTGATTTAAAAACTTACTCTTTGTGATACTGCTTGGATCTTTCCTTCCAATACCTGCACTCATCCTCGACGCTATTAAACATTGGTGGCGATTCCATTTCCGCAGATTTGCTTGACTTCTGACTTTTATTTGTGTACTTATCGGTGGTCAAACTGGGTTTGAAATTTCGTTCGTTCGAATTGATTTAACTTTTAATTTCTACTCAATACTAGGTACTACGGTTGGTCTATTCCGGCATTTGTGTGTGTTATTTTTTGTGTTTTTAAGCTGCTTCGTTTTTAATTGCTGTGATTAAAAATGCCAAAACACAGTTGTTGCTAATGTCGAAGTTTTTTTTTTTTTTGGTGTATGGTTCTGCAAAATGGAGGAAAATGGGAAAAATCAATTAGGAACAGGTGTTTGCCCTGCTTTTGTTGTAATGTTGTTGATCTGCGATGCCCTTAAACGGCAGGCGGTTTTGTCTATAAAATGTAAATAAAATCAAGCTAAATAAACACAATTTTTGTGACGCAGCAGCTGCGGCAGCAATAACAACAAAACGACTGTGAGCAGCAACAACAACAGGCTGATATACGACGAAGTTTCCCATACAACAACGCGCTGCATGAGAATGAAATCATCGTGGATTTTCACCAGTAATTTAGTTGGCTATAGCTGGATTTTGATGTTCCACCTTAGCATACGTGTCTTACTTACACTTTGCACTTAATTTTTCTACGATTTCTTTGTTTTATTTACATAAAATCAGTGTAAATAGTTATGCTCGTAAAAATTGCCTACTCCAAAAAACGCACTAGCCAACCCTGGTTTTGGTGGTGGCAGTGTTGCGTAGGTCCAGCGCATTAGGGTTAGGCAGCCCTGGTCAGCAGTTATTGTTTGAAATAAGTTTTTAATCTTTATACAGGGTTTTGTTTTTACGTTGCTTAGGCTTGCGTAGTTTTTTTATGAACTCCAAGTCAGGTTTTTCTATGGGTCGTGCTGCAAAAGTTATGGATTGGTTGGCCGGCTCATCGTTACTGGTGTCGTTTGAAATGTGGAACTCCGAATCGGAACTATCTTCGATTATATGGGCGGAATTGAGAGTTATATCCCGGGAAGAGCAGGGAATATCGGGTGTTATCTCCGAGTTATCCCCAACTATGCGCATGGGCAACGCTTGATAACAAAATGAAACATTCCGGCCAGATCTGCGACGTAATTTGTGTTTTCTTCTGATTTTTAGGTCGCCGGATCCACTGGATGAGTTGTTGCTGCAACTTGAAGAATTTCCTGATTGATCGAAATCCTGACCGCGGGTTTTGCGGATGTTTTTAGCCTTTTTAGACATTTCTGTTATCAACTGTGTTGGAGTTGTTTTGATTCCAAAATGAACACCACCTCACCGAAAGTAAAGGAACTAGTTTAAAAAAATGAAACTCCCAAAGAATACAAAGTTAAGTTCAATTTACTTTAATTTATAATTTCAGTTTAAAACTTAAACTTAAGTTGTTTTAAGTTTAAAACTTAAATTGAATTATAATTTAAATTTAAATAAAAATTAAAATAATCTTTATTTGGTCAACTTAACATAGGTGGTAACTTCACATAAGGGCTGCATGCTTAATTACCACCACCTAAACGAGCGTTGCCAGAAAGCCGCCACAGTGTGGCCAGATCGCAGCGACAGCAGTGCATTTTCAACAAAAATAAGGTAAAATATAGCACAAATATGGCCAACAATTGTTAAACAATTAACTCAATTGCAACCCAAAAAGCTTGTTTTAACAAGTGTGAGTGCAACCAAGAGACTGTGTGGGCGTTGCACTTGCAGTGGTCGAGAATTGATTAATTGCGGCGCATGCCGAAAAGGGAAAAAAGGGAGGATGTGTTTCAATAAACGAGAGTGAAAACCGCGACGAACAAGTGACTGCTGCATTCGGGAACAAAGAACTTACTAGGAAAATATGTGGCACAACGCCTAAAACTCGAAACTTCCTTCCTTGTTTTGCAGTTGGAACGATTGCGTTGCAGCAGCAGCAGCAGCAACAACAAAAAACACAGCGGCAGCTAAAAAGTGAAGTTAACGGGAGTTGCTCTACCACAAAAAAATCCAAACAGTAAGGAATCGGGAGTTAATTCAAGCATGGCGGATCCAGAGCGACAGAGTTTGATCAACAAGGACGACGGAAACGGATACAACTCGGTGGATGCAGTGGACGAGGGAGGCGATAATCCGGGGAGCAGCTCATCGGTGGCCACCAACGAGGACGGTGCGTATCGTGACCATAAAGCCGGGCATTCAACCCGCATCCAATCAGCCGGGTGTTGTATTTTGTTTTGTCTTGTTTGGAAACCCAACAAGTGTGCGGGTGCTCCACTTATCCGCAGCCGTGATTCGAAGTTGTCTACTCTCGGCTCAGTTGGCATTTTCACACTTCACCCAACTGAGTCATGGTAATAGGAAGCACAGAAAAAAAATGGTTTGATATCGTACCACATGATGAGGTCCAAAGATATACATATCTAAAACGCCACAAAAATACCCTATGATTTAGATTTAGAATATATTTTCAAGTAATCCAAATAATGCAAGTTTATAGGCATAGGCGAAAAGATAAGATCAGCAATCTTAAAATATTAAATTTCATTTATTATCAACCCATATAATTCATATAAAATTGTCAAATGATATTTCTTATTAGTAATTAGTATGCTGTCTTACCGCACAACGTGATAAGCCTATCTTTAATTCAAATTATTGACCTATCAAAATGATATACAAAATTTGAATATTAATTTCAATTTGTTAGCGAACTACAATCGTTCTCTGTTTATGCGTTCCTAGTAACCCGATGCCGGTATTGGCCAAATATTCGCACCGCCTTTGTTATTGTTTATAGTAGGACGCCTTTATCAGCGTAAAAAGCGTTCCCCACAGCTGTTTAATCAGCATCGATTTGGAGGTGGTGTTAAAGTGGTGGTGAAGGGAGGTCAGCGAAGTCCATGAGTCATCGAGTGATTCGCTGCCTTATCGTGGCACAGGGCAAAATTAAAGGCATAGAGGGCTTGCGATGAGCAGCAACTCCATTGTTTGCCAAGGAACCTGATCTTCGTCTCAGGGAAACCTCAGTGATATATTTATAATACCCTATTAAAATTTAGTTTCTTGGGGGGGTCGAGGTTAAAGTTCACCAGACGTTTCAAACCATGATTGATCCAAATTTTTTTAGTTTTAAATCTAAAAATATTTTGTCAGAAAATAAATAAGCCAAGTAAAAGTCGGTTTAAAAATGTTGAAAATGTAACCTGAATTTAATATATTCCTAATAATAATATTAACTTACTTCACAAAATTTATAAAAATAACTAAAGTTCTAAAGAAAACAAATATAATTTCTAAAAAGGCACCAACTTTACAAGTCTATTCTGTTGTAAGGTTAAAAAAAAGGGTCAAAAACACTGCACACTTCATAAAAATCTATTTACCTTTGCTGAATAAAAAACGTTAGTCTAGAGAACCCATAAAATTGGAGTTAATTAAATTCTTAAATAACCTATTCCTGTTAGCAAAGCGATCCATAAAATACACATGATCTTCGCAGAAAGCGAACGAAAACGACGCCTTTCTTTGTCTTCGCCTCCTGGCTTGTTTATATTTACGTTCTTCTTGCACAAAGTTCGAACTTGTTTTGATCGAGAGCAGAGCACCACAACTGCGGTTTAGCTGCACTAGTTTAATGCCAAGACAGGAACGCTGCATTCATAGAGCCAAAACATTGACCCATTTGACTTTATCGCAATAAATTCACTTCTCTCTCTTTCACCGAGTAAATCTTCACAAGATGAGTAGTGTAGTTGAGGGCTCACTGCTGACGAGATGTATTTATTTTACACCAAAGGTCTCAGCTTTGCAGGGTTCAATGTTTACCTTGTTATCCAATTAATACCTTGATTTCCCAATGGATTTTTAGGTAATGGAGCACCGACAGCTGTGCCTTGCATTGGACCCGATGAGCTGCCGCCGCCGTATCAGCAGAGCACCAACACCGGAGGCGTGCCGATGGTCACCTGTCGGGTATGTCAGCAAATGATTGACATCACCACGAAGCGGGAGCAGCACGTGGTCAAGTGCACCCACTGCAATGAGGCTACTGTGAGTTGCTTACTATAATAACATAAAATGCAAATCATGACTTACTCTTATTTTGATTTTCCACAGCCCATACGGAACGCTCCGCCGGGCAAGAAGTACGTTCGCTGTCCGTGCAACTGTTTGCTTATCTGCAAAAGCTCCTCGCAGCGCATCGCTTGTCCACGGCCCAATTGCAAGAGGATCATTAACCTGGCCCCGAGTCCTGTCACCCCGCCCGTGCCCACCATGCCGGGCATGTGCCGCGTGACCTGTGGCCACTGTTCGGACACGTTTTTGGTGAGCTCCCAGCCAGATTCTCTGCTTGAGGAATCCTCTACATCTTGCTATTGCAGTTTAACACGTATCACAACGCATTGGCCCGCTGTCCACACTGCAGGAAGGTCTCGTCGGTTGGCTCGCGCTTCGCCAACAGTCGCGGTGTTATTTTCGCTGTTGTGGCGCTGGTATTCCTCATCACAGGCATCGGCGTTACTATCGGCACATTCTCGACTGCTTCGGTAAGCAATAAATTTGATGTTTGGACAGAAAACACTCCACTTGAGGGCTATTAATTGCCTCGAAAGTAAACATTACAGCTTTTAAAACGAGCTGCATTGTTCCGATATTGTTTACTGATTCCATATTTATTTACTCTTTTTTTTTTTTGCAGAGCCACGGCGGCATGTATATTCTCTATGTGGCGCTGTTCGTGATTGCGGGGTGCATGCTGGCCCGCTCCGCCTACTATTTCCGCCTTAAAGTGAGCGCCATCGATGGGCCAATGTAAAGCTAAAGCACGGGGCCATCAGCGAAGGAAGTGCATTGTTTTATTTTTATATATATATATTATTCATATATATCATTCCTTTTGATATTAAATTTAACTAAACACAAGCAGCCAATTCGCAGACGGAACATCTGAACATTTCTCCAGCAGTGCAGCTTTTTAAAACTCTTCATTTCGAGGAAAACTAATAGCAAAACCTAGCGAAATTATCGAAAGGATGTCCCCGTTTAAAGTGATTTTGAAAGGCATAATTAGGATGTTAAGACCGTAACTAACTAAACTCTACTAAAATCAAATATTTCGAGAGTCGCAGAAATAGCTACCATCAAAGTGCTAAAAGAGAAAACTCACAGAACTGTAGGCAGTCATTAGTTATTAGATCAGCGACCGATCAACTCATTTATAGAATCGTCAGGCTCCCATTTTAAAGAATGTACAGTTTTGTTGTTTAAGTGTCCGATTTGTTATCCGTTTGTGCCTGTCCTGCAACTACATATTTTGGGTATTTATTCTTTACGTATTCGTTGATACGCTTTGAATTTTGTGTTGCTAAGAATTTATTCAATGCACTCTTCTCAGTTAACCGCCAAAGCAGAAGGGGAAAGCGTTTTGTTTTTGGCGTTAGAAATAATTTAAAGGGTATGCTAACAGTGCTAATGAAAAGGTACATACATACGCGCATATATACCATACATACATAATTATGATGAAAATAAACAAAGCAACACTTCTTGAACAACAGAGAACAAGCAACGCTCATGCAGAAAACAACAATTTAGACCGCAACTGCTAAACTGCGAAATTAAATATATATATGATTAAAAGGAACGGTTTACTTTTGAAATATATATATATATACAACATTTATATTTAGTACATTATAAATTAGCATACATACACTGTAAATAAAAAGAAATAAAACCACAAGTACAACGGACTTTTTTGCGGCGACAGCATGGCGGAGCTATAGAAAACGCAGTTTGCCTTGAACCTGACATCGAAAATTGGTTTGGCTTGTTGATTTGATTTTTCGAATTCTCTCTCAGCCTGAAAAATGTCGTCCTTGGCTCCCTGCTTTACAATGGGTTCAATTGTGCGTTGCAAAACTTGTTTTGGCGACAATATTTCGGGGGAGGTATACCTGCAATATTTTTGTTTTCAATATTATATAATGGATATCATTTTCTAGGTTGTGGCCTTTGATCTGGGCGTTAAAATGCTGATGATGAAGTGCCCGTCTAGCAAAGGCGGTGGAGACGAGCAGACCCTCTGTATTGTGAATCTCTCCATGTGCGTGGATATCGAGATAGTGAAGGAAATGCTTCCATTGGAAAATGTTCAGCCCCCTGAACCAATTGATCTCCTGATGGTAGTTTCTCTGGATTTATTTTAAGATCTTTTAGTTAATTTAATATATATTGTAGCTGCAAGAGCGTTTGCGCCGGACAACTGAACAGCGTTCCTTATTCCGCCGGAGTTATCATCCCAATGCCTCGCCTTTTGGTCAAGCTCTGTATCGATTGATGGCCAAGCATTTCGGTGATGCACATGTCAAGTGGCAAAACCAAGGCAACAATGCGGCCATCAAAGTGGATCAGTTGACCATAGAAGCTCCCTATGGAGTGGAGAACATCCGAGGCGAGCGGTGTGACCCCAAATTACTGCTCTACGTCAAACGCATCGTCCTATACTTCCACAACAATACACAATAATGAAACGAGGAACGTGCCCATGGCAACAGTCGCCCAGATAGCTCCCGGTTCTCTCGGCGCTTTGTTTATCAACAAAACAATTCTAAATACACATAGCCTCGACACCCACATAGAATACTTTTCTTTATCTGCCAAAAAGCACAATTCTTATTTGTACACAATCGATTTTATGCACTGCTAACCACCTAATATCCACCATGGCCGATGATGAAGATAAACCAAAGAAACACACCCTAGACACCTTGTTCCAGGTGTATTGCAACTATCAGGTAGGATAACTTAATTAGTTATGACTAATCTACAATGGGTATCGTTTGGCCTAAGGTTATACCCACGGATATAGAGAATGAGGTTTTCGATAGCATTCTGCTCTCGCAACTGGATGCCTGGCTGGAGCAGGCGAAGCTTATGCCAAATATTATAACACGAACCCAAACTGGGCTCATATATATGCGGTACAAGTGAGTATCATACTAGAAGTATTTTGTTTATATATAAAATAGAGTAAATAATTTATCGAACTCCCATAAAATCCTATAGAAAATGGCGCTTGGAATACGAAGACTTTCTGGAGGTTCTCAATACTTTGGCCTCTGACAACGACCTATCAATAGAGGAGATGAAGCAGGAAATGGTCGATGCTGGAGTTCCGAGCGGTGCCGATATAGTCGTTGTCGTCAAATAGATGTAATCTCGTGCATTTTATTTACATAAAAAAGTGGGAAAGCAACAAATACATAAAGATAATTAATTTTGATTAGATAAATTGTACACAAAAATTATAGTATAGTATAAAAGCGTTCAACAAAAAGCCTCTTGCCCGAATATATTAATTTCAGTTAGTTAAAACACTTAATTTGACATAGGGGTATACATTGAGATTACCGATAATAGAAATTAAATACGATTTAAGGAAGGGAAGTACAAGTTTTGATCAAATTCAATAAAATTTATGGATAAATTTTAATTTAAAGCTTAAATTTATTCGATGAGTGACTGGGACTATTCGTATCCCATTAACTCCCTGATAACAATTACAACGTTTGTTGACACAACAGTTTTAAATTGGATTCACTTTTAGCACCTGGACAAATATGTAATGTGGCGGATCGGAGATTACGATGTTACAAAAATACATGCTTATTCATTTCGTATATCTAATAAATATTGTTGATGCGTAATAATGGCTTCCGAGTGTCTCGTAGCAAATGGTAAGGTAATAATGCACTTTTCAGTTTGTACTAGCACGTTTCTTGACTCTTGTTGAGGTGCATAGAGCACCTTTTTTTATATTGATGCTCGCTCTTAGTCATCCCTCCAGTTGATGTGTATAGTATAAAATCTATAGAGTGGATTGTATAAATTGTGTACGCGAGTTTTATATCGTTTATCGTGCCATTGCCAAGGCCAGTCCAATTTCGCCAGATGATGTTGTATTTCCGGATTTGGTCATATGATAAGATGCTCTTGTTGGCTGAATGAGTGTACCTCTTCCGATCTTCGCGCGATATCGTCATGGATCTCTGTGTAGCTTTGCTCATATGTGTATGCATGCATGAATAATATAATGCATAGGCAGGTTAAGTAACGTGGCACTTAGGATTAGATTAGTATCAATTGCAAGTAATTTAAGAGTAAATTGTTCGCTCCAGCCAATCGTCCAGGTTGAAGAACGCCGTGTCCGAGTTGTCCGTGTCCCGCTCGCGGAACATCTCGATGAATGTCCTCACCTTGATGGCGCACATCAAGAAGTCGTCGAAGGGTATTTGGCCCTCGCGCGATCCGTAACGATGGGCCAGGGCATTCAGCAGCCGGTTGTTCAGATGGTAGCCAGCCGAATTGAGCGCTCCGCGCAGATGGAAACCATCGATGCTGCCAGTGCGACGGGTGTCGTAAAGTTTAAAGACCGCTCGCCACTTGGCAATGTCGGTAAGCAGCGCCTCGAACTCCTCGAAGCCCAGGCGGCCGGAGCGATCCTTGTCCAGCATGGCTACCATCGAACGCACGGCATCCTTGGAGAAGCCATCGCTGCCCACCATCACGTCGCGCATCGAGTGGTCCAGGATGCGCTTCAGCTCCTGCCAGTCCACCTCCTCATCGCTGCCAGCAACGCTGTCGAACAGGTGACGCAGAGCAATGCGCTGCGGGTCATCCTCCTCCTTCGGCGTTGGTGGCGGCAGAGACGGAGCAATGCGGTCATCGGTCTCGCCAAAGCCGACCTCGTCGTCGTTCTCCTCCATGTTGTTCATTGTCTCCGAGAAGACGCGAATAATGAACTCGCCCTCCTCATTCGGATCAAAGGTCGAGGGCACAATCAAATAGTGACCAGGAGGCAGCTTGAACCGAGCACATACCTCACGTGTGTTGATGAAGTGGGGCGATCTGGCCACCGAAGCTCGGTACTTGAAGAAGTTCAGTCCCTGTGGCTTCACCTGCATATCTCTGTCCGTCAAGTGATATATAGCAAATCCAATGGTCAGGCAATCGATGCCCACGTTGCGTTTGCTGCGTCGATTCTTTTGCATCAGGGCCACAATTGCCGTGCACTTGCCATCATCGTCCTCGTCATCGGGATCCTCCAGAGAGATAATGTACTGCGGATTATGCCAGAAGGTCTCCAGGAAGTTCCTGCAACCTCCGGCCGTCACGCCCGATGTCCACTCGCCCTCGAACATGGACATCTCCCACTTGCGACGCGAGCTCTGCTGCTGATCCTCCGTTAGCGAATCGGGTGACAAGTTGCAGATCTCCACGCGATCAAAGTGGTTAAGGAAGTCCTGGAAGGACATCCAGAACTCTCCATCTCGATCGAAATTTAGGCCAATCTCCTCTTTTGTGTGCTCCGGGATGAAGCGCCATTCGGGAGAGCTATCGCTCCAGGGACCGCTCCATTCAGCATCGTTGCCCCATGGGTTACGCATACGGATCATGGGCAGCTTGCCCGAGCGATTGGGCGTCGAAATGTCCATGAGGGTCACCTTAGTAATGGAGTAGGCATGCCCGCGAATCAAACCTTGAGGGGTCTCCGCCTCCAGAACATGTGGATCGGGTTCCAGCGAGCAGCCCATCATAGAGCCACGCTCGGCAGCCTTCATCATGATGCTGAATAGATTTGGAGGAGCCTCCTTGATGTCATACCACTCGGTAACGCCGCCGGTGAAGTCCTCCATGGCCTCGCAAGTGGTGCCACCTAAATTTAGAGAGGTAAGATGTTAGATGTTTGATTGGATTGAATTTAGAATAAAAACTATTACAATTTAAATTAAAAATATTTTAGGACTTATTAAATTTATCATCAGAACAATAAACAGGAAGTAAGTACGCCACAAAACGTGCCACTTAAACAAAAAAAAACTTATGATAAGCATGACGTATTTTTAGAAAAGTTTTTGAATTTGATACGTTTTTGCAAATCGTACATCCGCAGTACACAAAATTCTTACCCTTGAGAGCTTCATAGGAGCCGTGCAGCTTTGCGTACGCCTTCTCCAGCAGGGCGCTCCAGAACTCGTTCTTTTCGGTGGAGTGCATGTAGATCAGCTCGCCATTGTAGGTGGGCAGCCGATCATCGATGACCACCTCCACCCACTTGCCGTACTGCCAGAACTTGAAGTGGAAGATGCCGGCGTAGTTCTCCTGGAAGTCCTGATCCGGCGGGATCACCCTGAAGAACAGCTTCGAGTCCTGTGTGAGATTGGCCGCTGCGGCCAGGAGCCAGCAGTCACCCAGTTCTCCCTGCTGCACATCGAACCGCGAGTAACCCTCGACGAAGAATTGCGGATCGTCGACAATGTCTCCGGGACGCAGCCACTCGTAGTAGCGATCGGGTCGTCGGGAATACATCAGCGAGGAATTGTCAGCCGGAAAGTCGGGATCCTCGAACATGGTTCCGTTGGCCACGCAGCTTTCGCGCAGAGAGGCAAAGTCTCCCTTGCTGACGCTATGCTGACGGTTACTGGTCGCCTTGCGACCCATCCAGAACATGTTCTGGTTCTCGGGCACCTTGACGCTGGTGAAGCTCAGTTCCGCAACGCCCACCGAGGGCTCCTCCTCCTGCGTTGGCGCACTGGCTGGCGGTGGAGCCGTGGGATATGGCAGAGCTGGGAATCCACCGCCGTGCTGCGGAGCCGGACTCGTTGGCATCGGAGCATATGGCATTGGCATGCTGGGCAAACCGGGCATAGCCGAGGGGTACGGTGCTAGCGGAGCAGCCGGATAGGGAAGATTCGGCTGCGGCATGCCAGTTGGATAGGGCATTCCGGTCGGATAGGGCGCCATTGGGGCAGAGGGATACGGAAGAGAAGGGGCGTTTGCTGATGGCAAACTGGGATAGAGACCTGCTCCTGGATATGGCATTGCACTGGGGTAGGGTGATGGCGCTGATGGAGCTCCTGGCACGGGCATTCCGACTCCCGGGTACGAGGTATTCTGGGCGTGACTCGTCTGCTTCACCACATATGGCATTCCTCCCACGGATTCCGACGAGGGATAGGGCAACGATGGGTAGAGACCCGCTTTGGGTTTGGGTGCTTGTTCGTCTCCGCCGCTGACTTCATTCTTGCTGTAGCCCAAGGCCGCCAAATTGACAAGGCCAATGCCACTGGCATGATAATTCTTGGGGTAATTATCAATGCCGTACATTTTTAATGGATGCTATTCCACTCCACGCACGGGTTTTTCCTAATGGAAAACTAAGCTAATGGCGTTGCAAATCGGGTAAAACTACGGCGCTAACTGGATCCAGATGCTGATTAACTCGCTGCCGTGGTAAAACTGCTGACTCGCTGGGAATCGTACGCTTTAAATGGGAGAAGTATCCAAATTTAACTTTCTCGGTAAATGATTCATAATCTTTAACCCTTGTGGGTCAAGATATTTTGTTGATTTATGTATGGAAATGGCGAATCAAAAGATATAGCTTAATTAAGCGATGTTTTATTTCATACCACATAACAATAGAAATGTTAAAAAAAGGTTTTTTATTTTTGCCAATCATAAAACTTAAATAAATCAAAACTAAGAAAGCACTTGGTTTGAATATGACTTCTTTTTATCTGCAATACCTAAGACCTTTCTTGACTATTAAACATGGGTCAAAATAAAACCCCCAACAAAACACAAAGGTTTAATTCTGCCCTCAGGGCTGCACAAACGTACAGAGTTGCCAATGCACCCTAAATATTTTTGGTATTTTTTCGCCCTGTCGGCATTCACAATAGAAGAAGAAGAAGTAAAACAGACCTCTTGTTTTTTGACAACAAACCCTAATTAATTAGAATTTCTGGAGAAGATTGGGAATTCAAGCGATGGAAACGCTACCTGAGGTGCCAGAGGCACCACTGCGTCCGTTTAAACTATAAGTATTTCAAAAGATTATTTAGAAATTGAGAGTTAATAGTTTTTTCATTTCGACCAGCACGGCGCATCAGGTTGTGAGTCTCACGGGCATAAGTTTCGAGCGGAGGAGCATAATCGTAAGAATATACATAAATGTAGAAATGTTTTGCAACTAACTCCCCGTTTTAGGGCGTGGTCGAACTGACCATAGTGCCGAACAGCGAGAACCTGCGCCTCATCCGCCTGAATGCCAAGCAACTGCGGATCTACAGCGTTGTTTTGAACGATGTCTGCCAGGCGGAGTTCGTTTACTTCGATCCCTTCCAGGACATCTCACACAAAGATCCCAAAAGCCGCGTGCTGGAGGCCTACTCCCAGAACCATCTGGCTGCCGCCCAGATCACAGATCCAGATGTGAACAATGGTGAACTGCTGATCCAAGTTCCACCTGAAGGCTTTTCCATGATCCAGGAGGGTCAGGGCCTACGTATCCGCATCGAGTTCTCGCTGGAGAATCCCAAAAGCGGTGTTCACTTTGTCATACCACCTGAATCCATGGATGAGGAGACCCAGATAAACTGCTCCCATATGTTTACCAACTGCTATGAAAATTCCACTCGGTTGTGGTTTCCCTGCGTTGACAGCTTCGCGGATTCTTGCACCTGGCGCCTGGAGTTCACCGTGGACAAGAATCTAACGGCAGTATCATGCGGAGAACTGGTTGAGGTCATTATGACTCCAGATTTGCGGAAGAAAACGTTTCATTACACTGTAACAACTCCCGTATGTGCACCCAATATTGCACTGGCTGTAGGTCAGTTTGAAATCTATGTGGATCCACACATGCACGAGGTGACCCACTTCTGTCTGCCTGGAATGCTGCCCCTGCTGAAGAATACTGTTCGCTATCTGCACGAAGCATTCGAATTCTTCGAGGAGACCTTATCCACACGCTATCCGTTTTCCTGCTACAAACAGGTGTTTGTAGACGAGTTGGACACGGACATTAGTGCCTATGCGACCATGAGCATCGCTTCAGTGAACCTGCTGCACTCCATTGCAATCATCGACCAAACGTATATATCGCGAACGTTTATGTCACGAGCTGTGGCCGAACAGTTCTTCGGTTGCTTCATCACATCACATCATTGGTCGGATACCTGGCTGGCTAAGGGAATTGCGGAGTACCTGTGTGGATTGTACTCGAGGAAGTGCTTCGGCAACAACGAGTACCGCGCTTGGGTGCAAGCAGAACTGGCGCGTGTGGTGAAATACGAGGAGCAGTACGGCGGTATTATTCTCGATTGCAGCCAGCCTCCAGCTCCATTACCAGTTTCGAGTACAAATCCATCGGTGGCTGCTAGCAATCAGCCGGAGATTGTTCACTATTTCCCCATTAAGAGTCTGCACACCGTGTCGCCAAAATATGTGGAAGCGATGCGGAGGAAGGCGCACTTGGTTATCCGGATGCTGGAGCACCGCATCGGCCAGGAGCTGCTCATTCAGGTGTTCAACAAGCAACTGGCCTTGGCCACCAATGCGGCATCGACGAAGATTGGCGCCGGATTGTGGTCTCAACTCCTCATCTCAACCAACATCTTCATCAAGGCGATCTTCACGGTGACGGGCAAGGATATGTCTGTTTTCATGGATCAGTGGGTGCGCACTGGAGGCCACGCCAAGTTTTCGCTCACATCTGTGTTCAATCGCAAGAGGAACACCATTGAGCTGGAGATCCGTCAGGACTTTGTTAATCAGCGTGGAGTGAGGAAGTACAATGGTCCTTTACTTGTTCAACTGCAAGAGTTGGATGGTACCTTCAAGCACACGCTTCAGATAGAGAATACTCTGGTAAAAGCGGATATCACCTGCCATTCGAAGAGCAGGCGTAACAAAAAGAAGAAGATCCCTTTGTGCACCGGTGAGGAGGTGGAGATGGATTTGTCAGCCATGGAGTGAGCTATTAACTAAATATTTTGCTAAACAATCCATTAATATATTTGTTTTGTGTAGCGACTCACCTGTGCTTTGGATACGACTCGATCCAGAGATGATTTTGCTGCGTGATTTGATCATTGAGCAGCCGGACTTCCAGTGGCAGTATCAGCTGCGGCACGAGCGCGATGTTACTGCCCAGTTTCAGGCCATTCAGGCACTGCAAAAGTACCCAACAAATGCCACCAGACTTGCCTTAACCGACACTATTGAAAGCGAGCGTTGTTTCTATCAAGTGCGCTGCGAGGCGGCCCACAGTCTAACCAAAGTGGCCAACCAGATGGTGGCCTCCTGGAGCGGCCCACCCGCTATGCTGAACATATTCAGGAAGTTTTTTGGCTCTTTTAGTGCTCCGCACATCATCAAGCTGAACAACTTTTCCAACTTTCAGCTGTACTTTCTGCAAAAGGCTATTCCCGTGGCTATGGCTGGTTAGAAATTAATTGAATTGAATAAAAAAGCATGCTGAATAACCTATTTTCCTTTTAGGTCTGCGCACATCCCATGGTATTTGCCCGCCGGAAGTGATGCGTTTCCTTTTTGATCTCTTCAAGTATAATGAGAACTCGCGAAATCATTACACGGATGCCTACTACAGAGCCGCTTTAGTGGAAGCTCTGGGCGAAACACTAACGCCTGTTGTTTCCGTGGCTATTCACGGCACTCAGATCACCACGGATAGTCTTTCTACAGATGCAAAGTGAGTTTGCCAAGCATTTGATTAATGAATTTAATAATTTTACAAACAATCTGTATATAACCAGGTTGGTTCTGGATGAAGTGACTCGCCTGCTGAACATGGAGAAGCACCTGCCCTCGTACAAGTACATGGTGTCAGTTTCCTGCCTGAAGGTCATCCGAAAGCTGCAGAAGTTCGGTCACCTGCCGTCACTGCCTCACATTTACCGCAGCTATGCGGAGTATGGAATCTATTTGGATCTTCGCATTGCTGCCATGGAGTGTCTGGTAGACTTCGTCAAAGTGGATGGTCGTAGCGAGGACTTGGATCATTTAATTAATTTGCTGGAGACTGATCCAGATCCTGCTGCACGCCATGCGTTGGCTCAACTGCTGATCAACAATCCGCCGTTCACCCGCGAATCTCGCAGTCGCCTGGATAAACCCAATCTGGTGGATCGCCTGTGGTACAGCATAAATACGTTGGCCTACGACACCAAGCTGCGTTGCGATACCGTGGATCTGTACTACGCTCTTTACGGAAGCAAGCGACCGAATTGCTTGCAGGCCGGTGAGAACCAGAGCTTCTACAAGGACTTGATGAAGGATACTGGCGGCAATGCAGGCAGCGTGACCGGCAGTTTCAAGAAGACAAGCTCCGACATAAAACCAGCTCCCACTCCGCTAATGGAGTTGGACAACGAGCCGCAGGAGCGCCATAAGCCCGCCTTGGTTACCATTAAGAGGACGGCCACAGAAGCCTTCGAAGTGGGCGACGAGATCATCAAGCTGGAGCGAAGCGAGGAGATTACAGTGCTCGATGAACCCGTCAACGTTCAAGCCTTCGACAGTGAGACCAAAGTGAATATCCTGCCAGTGGATGACGACGCACCCGATTCGCATCAGGCAACCAAGCGGCTAAAGACCGAGATATTCGCCGAGGATGACAACTCATCGGTGATGCTCGAAACCGGTGACTTCACCAGATACGAGAGCAGCTACGAGGACGGCAAGTTGAAGACTGGCGATGCTCTGCTGAAGAAGAAAAAGAAGAAGGACAAGAAGAAGCACAAGCACAAACACAAGCACAAGCACAACAAGGAGAAGGACAAGGATCGCGAGCGCAAGGATAAGGACAAGCGCGATCCGCAGATATCGCGCCTCCAGGCCCGCGAAACCAACACCCCGGACACTCTCAGCTCGGCGGACAGCAGCAACAGCAATAGTCTTCCTCCCCTGAACCTTAACTAAGTGAGGGTTCTCTTCTGGGTCGGGATATATCGGGATATATATTGCATGAGTTGTAAGCAGAGGGTTAGGTATATAAATAAACATTAGATTTAAACAAAAGCAGGTTTTGTTTATCTTTAATAAGTTGTAAAGGTAAAGATTCTTTTATAGCCAAACTATACACACAATTTATATATAAAAGTATGTAAAGTATTTACTTTTATTTGTTAGTTTTCCATACTTTTATTGGTCGGTTTATAATTTAACATTAAGGAAGTGCTGAAACATTTTTACAATACTTACGAACTAGACAAGGACATTTTAACTAAAACAGGACGTGGGTTCGTTCACTGCACCTTCGCCTTCGCGTTCACGTTCGCGTTCTCCGCCTCCTCCGGAGCCGCCGCCTTGGGCTCGCTGCCCGCCACAGCGGTGTCCTGCTCGTCCCGCGGCCTCCGCTTCTGCAGCGCATGGACATGGGCCAGGGTGTGGGGATGCGACTGCTGGCCCTCGATGGGCTGCAAGTACGTGATGCTGCCGCCGCCAATTCCGGTGGCCGTCTGTTGGTGATGGTGCTGCAGCTCGCCGGCGGAGGGAGTGGACAGAATCTTAACCGACGGCTCCGAGGGAGCGGCCAGGGATCTGTGTGCCTGATGGGCAGCCAACTGCCGCGTGGCCAGACGCATGATGTGGGCGTAATCCACGGGCGGATGGTTGCGGTACTCCGGGTGATCCTTCACGTACTGCTCATACGGAACGGGAACGGGCACGGGAACAGCCTTCACCGGATATCCGGCGTCCACGAGCGCCTGGAACTCGGCCTGCGTGAGGGGCTTGCCATTGGGTGGGGGCAGGTTCAGTTGCTTCACTTCATCCAGAGTCCGCAGCTTCTGAATGGGAGCCGTTGTGGGCGTGGCGCGGGATGGGGTGGCAATGCCCGTTCCCTGGGACACATAGATACTGGATTGCGAGGGCGACGGCGATGGATACTCGGCGTGGAGCGGCAAAGCAGTCGGAGTCACGGCCAGATTCCTCTGCGAATGCTTTATCGGATCCGGTGGACTCGGGTAGAAGTTGGAAGGCGGCGGCGGGGAAGGCGATCCCTGGCGATCCTGGTAATCCGCATAGAGGAGAGCTTTCGTGGGCGAGGCCAACTTATAGTGCTTCGATCGGTGATACTGCTTGGGAATGGGACTCGGCTTGGGTGCTCCAGTGGGCGTGGCCTCCTGGTAGTAATACTGCGAGGGTTGCGGCTGATTCGCCTGCTGCTGCGTGGGATAGACCACCGGTCCCAATCGCTTGGCCTCCGGCGTGGGATAAATCGGCGTCGGCTGCTGGTAATTGCTGAACTTGAAGAGCGACGGAACAAATGGCTGGTTGTTCGCATCCAACAGAGAGTTGGGTGTGCTGGCCAAGTAGGCCTTGGGTTGCCTCAGAGCCGGATGAGAAGTGGGTGGTGGAGGGTGTTGGGGAGCTGGCTGCCTAAGGGCCACCTGCTGCTCATTGCTGCTGTCCACGTAGGCCAATGATTGTCCGGGTTTATTGGCCGCCAACAGCTTCTCGATCTCACTTTCCAGCGAGGATTTGGCCAGCGGGTGATTGGGCAGGGTCTTGTAGCTCACCTGCGGCTGGTAGTAGGCAATCTGCGGTGGCAGTCCATGGATCAGTTGCTGGCCGGAATGGGGAACGGGCTTGTGGAGCTGCACGCGTTGCGGTTGCTGTTGCTGCTGCGGCTCCTCGTCCTCCTGCAGTTGCTGTGCCTGCGGCAGGGGCAAGTACTTGGGGCCACCGCGAGGATGCGAGTAGGCTGATGGAGTCACCAGCTCCTGCTCGGCCACAAAGCGCTCTCGGTAGCCACCCAAACCCAGGGAGGGATCCGCCTGTTGGAGCACCTTGTGGGTGGCAGCTGTGCTGTGAATTGGCAGACCTTTCGGCTGAAGTTGCTGCTGCTGCTGGCGATGTTGCTGCTGTTGGTGTTGCTGCTGTTGGTGTTGCTGCTGCTGTTGCTGCTGGCGGAGTTGCTCGTGGTAGGCCCTCGCCTGCAGCTCCTCCTCCAGGAGTTTTAGGAACTGCTCTTCGGGAATTACTTGGTAGGGCTTCAAGGATATTTAATTAATTAGTTATTTATATTTATAATTTATTAAAGATGAACCACCTGCTGATGTTGCTGCTGCTGCTGGGGATTAACCGTCTGATGCTGTGGAGCTGGGAGTGGCAAGGGCAGTTGATAGGGACCCACTCCCTGGTATTGACGAGGACGTGGCTGTTGGGGCTGCGGCTGGATGGACACCGCATAGCGCTGCTCCGCCTCCTGCTCCTGTTCCTGCTCCTGCTCCTCCTCGGCCACCGGAGCGGATGACTTCTTGGGCGCACTGGCCGCACCCTTGCCTTGACCGGAGGCGGCCGCCAAAGCCTTCGCTTGATTATGATGGCGCATTATATCTTGCAGATACACGTAGTGCTGCACCTTCGAGATACGGAGATACGGATGGAGAGTAAAAAGTGAGAGGGGGCCTCATAATTACGGTGGGTGTGTGAACCGCCAACATTCAGCCGGCGGCCAATGTCAGCAGCCGTTTAAAGTGGAGCCATATGACCAACGCCACTGCCTTCAGGAAAAAAAAAGGAAAAAAAAGAAAAACGAAGCAAAAACCACAGAGGCAACAACTGGTTGCAGGTGCTTCAAACGCTTCAAACGCTGTGAGAATGGCGTGGCATCTAAAAAATGAGTTTATATAACACTTGTGGCAAACTTTGGCAACGCCAACACCAAACACAACAACCACAACAACAACAACAACCGCAACGGCTTTGGCTCTTCGATGTTGCAACAGAAACAACAAACATTACACTAGGCAACAAGGGTTCGCCATAAAAGGAGCCGTTTCTGTAAGCCTTTTAAGAGATCAATTGAAAGACCGAAACTTGAGGAGGATTATGTGATGTAAATATATGTAGATATTATGTAAAGTAAAGAAATAAATTAAGGACTGATTGAAAAATACACAGGACAGAAAATAGTAGTTCCTGAATTTAATACTTTTAAAAGAACTATTTCTTTTATGTGCAATCACTTTTCAATTAACTAAATTTCTATCAAGCAAACGGAACATATCTATACCAAAGACTATCGTTAGATATTTATTATTATATAATTTAGGCATACCTTTTTATATATTCATATTATTGGCTAACAAAATGATTTTTATTTATGTATTCAAAACAATCCTATAAATACACCCCGAACTCTTACATTCACTTTTTTTTAAAGCAGAAATCTTCTCAAAATTCAAAATATAATCTTTGGAAAACCCTTGATTCTTTGTAAAACCTGCTGAGTGGTGTGCCATCGGTGGTTCCCATTATTATGGCAAATAAAGCCGCCGGCAAGTCAAGGCGCCACCAGCCATCAAGCGACACAAAGCTGACAGACCAAAAGTGGGGTGATTATAACATTATGTCAACTTTCTTCCCACGACGAGCTCCATTGTGTTTTTCCACGGGTTCCGATGTCTTCCACACTGCAAGAGACCCACTGAAGACCCAGAGGAAAACGAAGAAGCCAATGGCGAATCCCCCAGTGGTGGTGATGGAAATTCGAGTTGCAAGGGAGGTGGAAATTGTTGTGTTGACGCGTAATAAGACAAATAATAATAATTTTGCAATTATGCATTCGTTGCTGTCGCCATCAAGTCGTGACTTAGTTTTGCCAATTGCCTTTATAATATAAATATCATTATTATTTTTGCCGGCACTTTTAATTTCTATATACATTTTGCAATATAAACATTGTGTCTGCTAATTGCATTCGCCTTTGTCTACTGCGACTATTGCAATTCGTTCCGAAAATAAAGATATTGGTCAAGGTTTCTTGGCCTCGGCGAAAGGGAGAATTTGACAAAATCCGTCTGGGGGATTGGGATTGGGCCGTTTGGCTTTTGCCTTTTATGTCTGCGAACGGCGAGATGTTTTTACATCCGGCATTTTGCAAAGAATCGTGTTCGTGTGCCTGCCGCCGATGCCAAGTCACGATGTCCAGGTCGTCCGATGTCCGTTGTCTGTTGTCCAATGTCTGTTGTCCAATGTCTGATGTCTGATGGCCGCGGGGCCAAGTCAATAGCTCAGATAAAACCGCCGAGATGTTGATGGAACGCCCCCGATTGGCGCAAAACAAACAATATTCCGTCATGGCAAAGGTAATCCGTCAGTTGGCCATTCGGTCACTAGATCACCCACTCCCTTTGGAAAAAACAGGGAACATGGATAATGTTTTATGGGTTCGGTAATCAATAATGATACCTATTAAACTGAATATCCTTTGATTATATCCTAGGAAAACTTTAATCTTAATTATAGATTCATTTAGAGCTGAAATAGTATTTATTATATTAAGATTTGTTTTAAAGTTTTTCAGCTGTTTAAATTGTTAGTTCATCACACTCTATAAATGATTATTACCATTAAAAGGTTTTTTGTGCTGCTTTTCCTTTCAAAATATTGAGTGCAATAATTTTTTTGAGAAATGCTAATCTGCATATCAATTATTTCTTTATAGGAACTATAAAAATATTTAATGATCACTTTAAAAAAAAGTATTATGAACCTATGAAATTTACCTTTAGTTTTTAATGCAGTAATCTAATTTTTTTTTACTTAAAAAGCTTTACGTTTTGACCCGACCAGGAGTGATTATTTTTGTAGGTAATCTTGGAATTTGGATTCCCTTAAAATATAGTTATATCCCCGAAACTCACCTCCTGGCTCTGCTCGAGAAGTTGGGCGGCATGTGGTCGGGAATTGGCTGCGGCGAAGTTCCTCAGCTGCGGCTCCTGGTGGGATTCGTGCTGCTGGTGCTGATGCGGGGCAATCGGACGGATGATGAACTGGTTCGGCTTGGAGCCGTAGATGGTCTCCTGCCCGTCCTCGGGGTCATCGCTCCCGGTGGCGGATGCCTCCGAGCTGCGGTGGTTGGGGTACAGAGGCGTCTCCTTGGAGCTCACCTGTCGCTTGTCTTTGGTCGCCTCCGATTCCAGTGGCGTGGAGGCGGAGCTCTTGCTGTCCTCCGCCGCCGCCACCGTCGCCACCGACCGACTCCCGCTGCTGTCTTGGCTGCTCTTAACCTCCGCATCCAAGGCTTGGGTGCAGACGAGACCTGAGTGGGAGGATGGAGATAGGTGTTGGTGTTACAAGCATTACATTTTGATTTATGTTTGTGGGAAACAAACAATTTTTATATGCCCAAAACAGGGTAAGCTAGCTTAATTGAATTTAATGCCACTTATTATGTTTTTGTGCATATCTTTTTCATGGTAATAATCTTGTAGTAAAATTGTGTGAGATATTAAACAAGTAACAGTTACTAAAATCGAACCACCATCTGTTACCAAAGATAATTGGCACATGAAAATTCAAATTTCAGAATTTATTTTAAGAGTATTTAAGCTGGTTATTGCAAATAAATCTACTTTTACCAAAAGGAAATTCAAGCTATGAAAAATTAAGTATATATAATCAATATATTTATTTTATTTTTAATCGAAAGTTGTTAATTTTAAAAAATGGTTAACTTTTAGATATTTTCTTATAAAAAAAGTCAAGTAAAATCATGAAAAGTAAAGTCTTAATGAAGTTTTTTACTCTTTTAATCCAATTTTAAAGAGAATCTATTAATTTATATTATTTATATTCCTTTTTGGGGATACAAAACTGTTTGGTAAATGTAAAGTTCCTTTAAAAAGTTTGTCAGCCTAGATATGTTCTATGGTGTTTGTTTTTTAAAAATGCCTTTGGGTTTTCCAAAAAGTTCTATAGACTACAAAGAACATCTTTTTCATCTCTTCATTTTTCCTAACAATATTTTAGCCAAACAAAAATTTAAAAAATATTGTCTAAACCACAAACTCAAGACACTTTTCCCGCAGATCTCGATGTCTACTCACCCAGCAAGAGTGTCAGGACGATGATTTGGCTTCTCATTGTGTGGCGGCACTGCACCAGCAGACTAGTAATTGAATATCTGAATCTGAATCTGTGGGTCTGTCTGGCCGTTCGATACTTTCACAGTCACTTGGGTTAATTTTTCCCAGTCGTTTTCGTTGTTGTTTTTGTTGTTGTTAGTTTCCTTGTCAGGCAGTTGTTGTTGTTGTTGGGATTACGATGGCCGCATCTGCTGCATCTGCATCGAGCATTGCCGGCTGCTGCAACAAACTGAACCAAAGAAGCACCACAGCACACGAAGCGATTATTACAGCAGTTATGCAACTGAAGATTCGACACAACAATCCAACATTGAAACCGAATTGCGAATTGCGAAACTGCAACTAAAACTGAAACTAAATTTGAATCTGAATCAAAGTCTGGGTGGCAATCCAATTTCAGCTTTGAGTTCGTATCCCGTAATCCTTGGATTATTTTTCTGGTTTTTATGGCGCGAAATTCGTAACGTTTCAAATTGGATGCTCTGATTGACTGATTGCTTTACCGTCGTCTCTTTTCCTGCCTTTTTGGCCAGGAGCTGCAGCTCCGTTTTGCGGGTTTTGTATTGCTTTTTTCGTATTCGAATTCGGAATCGGATTTAATAGATCGCGCGCGCTGCTGCACGTTCAGCCAACGAATCTTGAGCGTTGTGCGGCCAACACTTGTATTTATAAATCCCGTGGCCAAAAGAGACGAGTCTCGGCCGAGAGCCGAGCGGCTCCAAGCTCCGGCTGGTAAGCCAAAGCCGACCTTTGCGGATCGTCGTGCCAGCCAAGCACCAACACAAAGAGAAAGGTCTGTCTGCCATCGCCGCCGCCGCTTCTGCGCTTCGATTCTCCTACAGCTCTACAGAGGGAAAATACTATAAGATCTACTTGGACTAATAACGAGGGGTCAAAATATCACTTCTTCTTAACGAAAATTTAGTGAATATAATATGCTTTTTTTATGTATGAGCTTGTTAGTCATTAAGATCTAAAGATGTGTATACTAGGTAATTTGATTTTAAGATCCTTTGCCTTTGCCTTTTTGCATAACTAAACTACATTTTTATTATACGATTTGTTTTTAGAGCTTAACGGTTTGGATATTCATTCTTGTACATTACAACATAAATCTCAAAATTTTAAACATTCATAAATGTAACTTGTAAGTTCTTATATAAAAAAAAACCAAAAACAAAAAGGAAAAATTTTTGTAAAATTTTAAAACGTAAAAAATAAAAAGCAAGTGTTTTTCTTAAATAAATAAAGTTTAAACTTTAAATTGTATTCTCTTTTGTGCGTAAAGTAGTTGGTATAATTTGCCTAAAAATTAATTCTATTTATTATAAATATATCATAGATAAATAAGTAAGACATTTGATAAATAACACAAAATTAAGCTTTTGTGCTAAAATGACAAGTATAATATATAATTTCTACTTTTCCTTTTTGTCAAGGTTATTTTTCTCTCCAATTCGGAAACTAAATTTGAATAAGAACTCCCCCAAAACCGCGAATTTTTCTCGGTGAACCCATGCACTCGTAGGCTTCCAGGGGGCCAATTGAACGTTGACGGCCCTGTCGGTGGCTAACCGCTAGTTAAGTTAAGGCTAATGGTGCGGCCGGGCATTTGCCTGCCGCCTGGAAGCGCCCCGAAAATGCTAACGTGACACTAAATTGGCCGTCCGCCCTCATGGAGATGGAGTTGGATGGAGTTGGATGGTTGGATGGTTGGAAAAACACATCGACTTGGTTCAGGGAGAGGGATAGCTGGCTGCCGGCCATGGCTATTTGTGCTGTTCGAGGCTAAAGGGCACTTTTGTTTTGCTTTTTGTCTCACTGCCTTTTTGTTTTTAACTCTTGTGGTTTTCTAAACCTTTGCTGTGTGTCTGGGCAAATTGGGCGCATTACTTTTAACAAGCGTTTTCGATTCGGATGCGGGACTCCCATTTGCGTTTCCATTTTCATTTGCATTAGCAATGCATATTTAATATGCCCAAGCCCAGTACGACTACTCGCACCACACAATCGAAAGAAACTCCACCCTTGCCGGCAAGTTCGCTGCTTAAGTCTTTCGTTTGACATTTGCAATTGCCCGTGGCACAGTGGGTTAAATTATTTGCGGTTGAGCGTTGAAATTGTGGCGCGGTTGAGTACTAAATATTTTAAGTACAATTAATAGAAGCAAACCAAAGAGGGAAGCTAACAAAAACCATTTTTAATTTATAAGTTATACAAGCAGAAAGAGAGAAAGAATAGCTTTAAAGGAAGGTGATAATAATGTTTCTTTATTAACTAAGTACTTAACTTAAATACGTTCTATGTTGTTTTCAACAAATCTATAGCATTGTTTTATCTAGGTTTTTACTAGAATGATCTAGAATATCCAGAATAGATATTTGTCATCCTTAAAGGTTGTGACATCTTGAAAAAGATTTCATATTTTGTATTTGGAAAAGTTATGATAGCAATTATTACACAATTACTTAGCTTAAAATCTAAATATTTAAGAAAAATTACTTTTTTTTGACTGTATCATTAAATTGAAACATTATGAACACTTTCCAAGCTCCCCAATTTGTTTTTAAATTTTATACAGCCTGATTAAATGCTTCTTACCTATGCAAGTGATCCCAGAAATTGAACTGCCATTTATTTTGGCCAACTGTGCCCTTCTGTTTGGGGCTTGTGAATTAACATTTCAGCGCATGCGTGGGCAGGCGCAGTTAGGAGTTTAGAGTTTGGAACTTGGAGTGAGGAGTTTGGAGTTAACCCCCCAGTTGGGTTAACCCCTGCTGGCAGCATCACTTACTCGTATTGCGAACTCCGGCTGACGGACGGAGTCAAGTCGGTGGCCAATTTGGGCAATTGCGATTGCCGTGCTGGTTAATTGAGCCTCGCTTACCTAATGCTAATGCCAGGCTATGTCCGCCGATCCAACGGAAATGGGGGGCTTTGCGTTGGTGGTGTCAAAGTTAACACGGTAGCTGTGAAATTTGGCGCTGGGGAAATCCGTGAAAATTGCCCACTGTTGCAAGCCTGCCATTTCCTCATCCTTAGCAAATTGATTAGGACAGTTCGTCGGCCAAAACTAACCAAATAAATAAGTTTATAATTAAGTGGAAGATTTGCGGCAGTTGCTTTTGTTTTTCTCCTCGCTTTTTTTTTTTTTTTTTTTTGGTTTTTTTGCGCAACTCTCGATCGAAGCAGCAGCCGCAGAGTTACTTATTATAAATTCTCCTACTGCCTGTGTTGTTGCTAGTTTGTTCACATTATCATTTAGTTGTCTGCGTGTTGCTTGTGAAATTGTTGCATTGCATGCTGCACCAGCAACAGCAACAACAACTGCAGTAGCAGCAGCAGCAACATCGGCAGACGACGATGCGATCTGCAGTGGCAACATCTTCTTTTCTTCAACTACTATTTATTATTGTATTAGTTTCTGTGCTCCGGCTGTTTCTTCAGTTATTTTTTTGTTTTGCTTTTAATTTCAAGTGCTTTTTGCTGTAGTTTTCTGAGTTTTTTGCTCCATCCAGCAACCAGAAATGCAACAGTTTCTGGCCAAATCCACTTAAATCAATGATCATCATGAAGGAGACGACGACTATGATGATGATGATGATGATGATTCTGCTGGCAGTTCACATTTTGGCATTTGCATTCAGCAATTCACATTCTCTAAAGCTACGACAGTTTTATGCTCCAAATTTTATGTGTATCAATTTATCAGACGGCGATGGAGTCAACCTTAACATTTAGTCTATGCTTTTTGATATACTCCAACTGGCAACATTTGCCGAGATCTTAATTGGCAACTTTGTGGATGTATTTTGACGGTTTTTTTTTTACTTACTTTTTTTGCCTGCCACCGGATTGTTGTTAATGAAAAGTGGTTTTACAATGAAATTGCACAATCGACGATGTGGCCAGCAATGACCTGCGAAGATACCACGTCGAAAGGAAAATGTATCGCCAAACTGTGGCCACAATTCCAATGGAGAGCTCCATATGACAGGGTAAATGTTAATGGCAGTAGTACGAATAAATAATGTGTAATTTACCAACGGCAAGTGACAATTAAAATGCCATTCCGCGAACCACAACTGTTATGCAGTAGCTCAACGACAAATGCCGCGAATGCTTCCTCCGCTGGTTAACATTTTCGGTCATTCGGAACCGAGATCGCATTGCCAACAATATGTGTACAAGTCGCATCGAGTTGGTCAATAAGATGTGTCTAATTGGCAGGGGTGTTCTCGGTATGCTTAAACACTTGTTAGTACATCCATAAGACATAGCAATAAAGAGTTAAGTAATGTTATGTTCAGCATATAAATTAAGTTTTATTATGTTGAGCTAAAAATAACAAACTTAGTTTGCAGGAGTGAACAAAAAAATGTAACAATTTTAGTGGAGCTCTCTAAAAACGAAAATATTAAGTATTTCTTAAAAGATGCATTTCTCTTTCCATATAATATTTATATTAACAGGAGAAGATATAAAATATATACATATTTTTTTTATTTTGTAATGTAACCTAATATATCATTTTCATATTATTTAAAATAAGTTACGGTGAAAATATATTGTTGGTAAACAACGAACAATTAATAGATAATTTATCTTCTCATTTATTAAACTGTAGCTGAATAAACTTTTTAGTGGGATACTAAAAGTGAACAATTTTTTGGAAAGACATAAAAGAAACTTACAACGAGCAGTAAATCGCTTAGGAGGCACATGGGTTTTCCTTTGGACCAGGTAATGAATCCATAATCTAACTTGGCTCCAGCCCAACTTGGTTCGTAGACCACACATCTCCAGCTGAGATCGCCTATCGCCATCTGACTAGACCACAACCGAGATTTCCATCTCCGAGCAGCACTTAATTATGTTTACAAAACTGCAAAACCGACTGACTATAAACGTCACTGGAACAATTTATGAATCATAAAAGCCGTCCAAGCTAAAAGCGAAAAAGTGCATTCTAATTCATTTAAATACAATTAAAACGATCCGTAGCGAATGGAAATCGCTTAAGGAATTACTCAAGCGAGTTCCCCGCATTTCGTGATCCGAACAGGCGACAATCCGTGTCCGTCTTTGACCCAAAGTCCGGGATTGGCCGCCCAACTTCAATGGAGCGTGGCTCCAACACACAAAAAAAATTACAAAATAAATGGTTAAAGAATATGATAGGGAAATGTATTTAATAAATTAATTTAATACAGAAAGGAAAAGTAAAATCCTTTATTTTCATAATTGTGTAATTTGTATTAAATGTTTTTATCCATAAATAAAGCCTTTTAATTATTTGAAATTGGTAGTATTTATTATACAAAGTCTCATTACTTTTAGGATCCCATTTAGTAATAAAACTGACACACATTATTTGTATTAAATGTTTTTATCCATAAGTAAAGCTCTTTAATTATTGGAAATTTATAGTATTTATTATAAAACAGACTTTACTTGTAAGGATCCAATTTAGTAATAAAACTGACACACACGCTTTTCAATTATAAGAAATTCGATTTGAAAATCAATAGCAAGGCAAATCGATGATTTAAGTTGTAGTTGCATTTCTTGAACTGCACATGCACGACTACCAAAATAATTTGCTAATGAGCCCGGGCCGCAGGAGCAGTCATCCGTGGCTATAGTGAATACACATGCTGAGGGGGCTCTTTGTTTTGGGGGGGATTGGGGAAACGGAATCTATGGTTTCTTTTCTTTTCGTCTGACTTTTGACTCGCATTGTTATATGATTTGCCGGGGCCTTTTCCTGGTTGTTTAATTTCGGATTGCGGCCACAAGTGTTTTGTATAATCGCCGCAAATACCTGGGCAGCGTTTAATGACGGGCCTAAGCACTACATGTTGATTTTCTCCGTCACTTGGACCAAAAATATATGGACTGTGGATCGGGCTAAGTCCATGCATCAGCGATAATGTCTGTTGCCCGCCAATGATGGCGGTGCAATAATTTAATGCTTTCCATTCACGCCAACCCAGATCCGATAATGAGTCGGCGGGGGGAAGATCGGACAATTGATATTATAGCATTATAATAATAACGACGATCAACTGACCGACCTTGCCGGGGTTATTTATCCTCTATAGATCTGGATGGGTGATGGAAAGAGAAAAGATTATTACGCACTAATCAGATGGCTGAGGTTATTGTTTATTTTATATTTTTTTATCGCATCCACCGGCGGTTGCAGCATAAATCGCTGACTTTAATGGACGGAATCGGGAAAGCGTTGCAGTCATTCAGCTAAATACAAAGTGGCTAACGAACAATGACAGACCGCCGAATGAATGAATGAGTGTTGAAAAATAACGTATACGAGTATATCCATAAAATGGGTAAAATAAGAAGCGACGAGATTTTCACACTACAAGTCGCAGGCAGCCAGCCAGCCAGTCAGCCAGCCGTGTAAACTCGTCGGCATTAGCTAATGCCCAGAGGTAACCCCCGATCTCCGATCTGCGATCTCCGAACCCCGATCCCTGCCGACACACCCGGATAACTTCATTTACATTTTGGGCGTGAGAAGAACCGCGCTTCGGAGTAATCGAGAAAAAGACAGAGAAGATCTGGCTCATCGGCTCTGGCTTAATTAGATTATAACTACCAACTGTGCTCCGGTATGTGGAGTGGAGTATCGGCTCCCAGATTTGAATTGCGTGCCGAAGATGATGACGGGGGCATTGCATAATGGGGGCGAGGCGGAACCAGGCCGAGCCCATCGTCCATAAAGCGCACTCGCCATAATCAGCATTTGCCTACTGTCCCAATTACCAATTGGTTTATATGCATTGGCCATGGCTAACTCCGGCCACAAGCCGTGCAATTAACTTGTCTCGTCAGCGCTTGCGGTTTTCGCCAAAGAACGGTGTGAAGTGTTCACACATCTCAAGGAACAATTACGGCTATTCGGAAAAATCCAAGAAATTCCGGTTGGTTAAGTTCGCTGAATACCACATGGGAAAATGCTTACAAGAAATCTGCTAAACATCTACATTATGATGGAAAAGCGTAAGTTAAGATTTAACAAGTCTAACTATTTTTAAGGAATAGATATCATATCTACAAATCGGCCAGAAAATAAAAAATGAACTAACTATGCAGTTAACTAGAAAATTAAAGTACAAACTTTTTGGAAAAGTTTTTGACTTAGAATAATTAAAAAATGGTACATTTTTAGCAAATCCATTTTTTTTGGAATTTTGGTAAGGGGCAAAAAATAAAAAAATTTCTAATGATGTAGTTTGTAACAGAATTATCAAATTGTACAGATTGTTTGAGAATTAATATACAAACATTTATAGGTATGCCACTTCAAAAATGATTAAAATTAGAAAAGCTATGACCTGGTATCAGTGAATTCTTGTCAATTTTTTACCCTCTACAAGGATATAAAAAATTAAAAGTAAAATTCTAAACGGTGTTTCGATATATTTCTTAGCCATTTTTTAACAACTGAATTTATTTCTAGATAGTAAACCAAGAACCTATTAAAATTGGTATAATTTTAATGTGCAAATTAAAAATCTTTTTATTATGGATCCCAAAAAAGTACGCTAAAAAAATAAGCACTTGGTGCTAAAGATTTTACTACACTAATTAAAACCAAAAAAGCTTAAAAAAGACACACTTGCTAAAAATACTTTGGTTTACAAACAATCTGCAAGCGATTAATTTTAATGAAAAGGTTAACTGAGTTGACAATGTTGTAACTTTGGCTCGCTAATTTTACACAAATGGTAAGACAATGACAGATTTTAGATTACAAATGTTCACAATCAAATCATTACCAACATTTTTCCTAAATCTCGTCGCTTTTGTAAACGTATGCAAATTCCGGGCCTTTGAGTGCCAAGGTTTTTTTTACAAGAAAAGACCGCCAGCAATAATCCCTTGGGGAAAAGACGAAACAAAACACACAATATTATTGTTAACGATGTGAAAACGTGTACAACAAAGCAGCTGGCCAAAACGCGGCAATTAGCCACGCACCCGCATATTGGCCATCCAAACGATCCAAAACGAGATGGCCCTGGGCAAGATGCGGATCCAAAAAAGCCAGCGAAGATCCAGTGGCAGCCATCCAACTGACATTTCAATAATCGCATCAAACGATTCCATTTAACACAATTTATGAGTGGCGATTCGGCTTCTGATTCTTGGGGTCCGCGGAGAATATATATGTAGTATGTTTGTTTGTCCAGTGCTCCACTGTTGGCATTAACCAAATTGTGGGTCCCCCCCTGATGATGATAACTGGATTTTCCGAGTCCCAGCGGCGAACTCACCACCTTGGCATTTAAACCGTAGCATGTGCAAAAAGTGCCCGAGCAACAGGAAGATGCCAGCGGTCGGAGCAAAAAATAAATATATTTACACTTTTAAATAGTTTTTGAACGTTCCAATACCATGAGATTTAACATCAGGTTCCGAGATTAACAGAAAACAAGATTTTTTAAGCTTAAGTTCAAAATCCTTCATCATAACAATATCAGTCTTCAATAAGATGTTAGTTTATTAATAGTTGCATCTTTGTTTAAAATCCTGTAAATCTAATACAATAAAAAATTCATCTAGAATAAATTTTTAAAGGGCAGAAATGTGAATTGCCTATTCCCTCATAGTTTAAATTAAAATTATGAACCTTGACTAAATAGTCTTTAAAATAGATATTTTGTTATATCCTTATAGAGCTCGTATTCAATCCGAAAATTAATAATAAAATTGTTTTCTCTGCACTGACACCGTTGAAATTTCTTAATAGAAGCGCCGAAACGGCAACCAGCATACAAAAAAAAAAAAAACAAAAAAGCAACTAAAAAGCGGCAGCCGTAGCATCGAGTTGGAATCGCAAATTAAATGTTAATAGTAATACCCGGCCACAATGGAGCGGCGGCGCTTGGGACAAAAACCGGATTTGTGGCAGCCACAGACAGAACAATGTGCGCATAAATCTAGCGTCAAAACATGAATGCAATTTAAGCAAACTGAATGAGCGATTGCCACGGATTAACCAGCGACAGCACGGGGGAACCTGGTGAATAAAAAGAAACGAAAATCCCAAAACCTGCTGGAGCAGCGATCAAATCAAAACTTGACATTGTCTGACTTGAGCCCCACTTTTGAAGAAAGGAAGCTGGAACGGAACGGATCGTCGGATCGGCGGAAGGTGAGAAAGGCCGACCGACGGCATTAACTGGTAAACACGCATATAAAGTGACAGATTGCATAACAGGCCAATACGAATACGAATACGAAAATACGAAGACACCATCATCCTCCTATGTGGCGTGCGGTGAAAGTTAATTTGGCAGAAATATGTAGAAAAATTATGAAATGTGTTTTCCTTTCGGTTGCCACCGCATCGCGGCATTGTATTGTATTATTGTGTTGTGGCAAGTATCAAGCGGAAACGGCAAGCCGTGCCTCATGCAGCCACAACTGCCGCCCAATAGGTTAATAAAATACATTTCGAATGAAAACAGGAAGAGCTGACAGCATAACTCCAAGTGGCACGAGCTGATAAGCGTGCTTATTCTCTATAACTCATCTATATATAAGTACAGATCGCCAAACGGACTTTCCTTAACAATAAAATATTTATACAAAATACAATCTCTTTCGTTATACAACAAATATTTTTAACAAAGATGTTATATACAAAATAGAGCACAATCTACCAAGAATATTTTAAATTAAACTAAGAACGCTGTAAAATACATGCAATTATTTTACACCAGGTGTAAAGTAAACTATATAAAATTTATTTTCAAAGTTGTCACGAACTTAATATTGTAATGTTTGTTAATTAAATCCATTTCGTGTCTTGTACATGCCCCAAAAAGCCACCTTTCCCACCTCTGTGAAAGTAATAACTGGCAGCGGCGCCAATTACATCTCTGTTTGCTTCAATTGTTTTCTTATCCCCAACATTATGATATAAGGGCTCGAAGCACAAGGTCTGCCTGCGCCTTTTAATCTCATTTAGCGTGCGCCATTTATGGCCTGTGAATATCGCAGCTGACAATTACATGCGGCGGGCACCTTGAAGGGGCCAACAAATTGGCGACCGACAGGCATTTCTCCTCCGCCATTGTTTGGGCCAGGTGGCCGCCGACCAGAGCCTTGGCCGTTTTTAGAAAGGCCCAGCTCGAAGCACTCAAGTGGCACGGCGAAAGGTACAAGAAAGGTACTCCTCCTCTCCAGCTCCAACTCGAACTTCCAAGCTGCAGTCCATCCACTTGCACAATCGCCGCCATAAAAGAGACAACACACGGCACACAGGTTGGTTTAGTTAGGTCTAGACATTTATTAAGCAGGCAGGCTGGGTGGCTCGGTGGCCAGGTGATGGAGCAGCTCTGGCTGGGCATTGATGGTGTGCACACTAGCTTGAGCACAGTTTAATTTAGATGTGTAGATGTTATTTATATATTTGAAATATGTTTTATAGCAACCCAATCACTGGGTTTGGTTGTTGCTAATATTATTATGTTATTATTAATATATATTATATATTACTGCTGCTACTCGAGTCGGGTGTCGCTCACTTGGATTCGGCTGCCGCACTATTGGCGGACTTGGTGGCGGCTTTAATTGCGGCCGCCGACGTGCGCTTCACACTGACCAAGACATTACGCTTCGTGGAAGCGGGACCTGGTTTGGCCACTTTGCCAGCCGGCTTGGGCGTTGCCGTCTTCGCCGGCTGCTTGGCTGCGGCAGCAGCTGTGGTCTTGACCGTCGGAGTGACCGCTGCGGCAGCTGGCTTTTTCTCCGGCGACTTGGCCACCGGTGCGTTGTCTTTGGCTGCTCCCTCATCGGCATCGCCATTCGCTTCCTCCTTAGCGTCTTTCGCCTTGTTTTTCTCGCTGAAAGTGGATACGCATTGCATAAGATACTCGTGTGATTTATTTCTTTCAACTTACCTCTCAATGTCAATGTTAAGCACGGACTCATCCTCATCGTCCTCCTCTTCCTCCTGTCCAATTGGCTCTACCTCGGCCAAAAGATCGCCCAGATCCTTGTCGACCTCTTCCCACAGCTTTTCATCGTGATGGCCATCTTCTTCGTCATCTTCATTGCCATCGTGGAAGTCTTCGTCCTCATCCTCGTTCAGCTTGCCATCGACATCGTCATCGCCCTCCGCGTCGTCATCGGCGGCCTTCTTTTCCTCGTCGTGATCCTCATCATCGCCACCGTCCGGCTTGTTCTTCTTCTCCTTCTCCTCCTTGTTGCGCAGGAAGGCCTTCACGTGGGAATGCTGCAGGCAATGCTTCTTGGTGTAGTCCTCCAGTGACACGTCGTCGATCTTGGCGGAATAGTGATTGCACAACTCGCAGTAGAAAGCCTCAATGGTCTTGATAAAGTCCGGACCAATCAGAGCGTTCTTGCGGACCTCCTCGTCCTCGCTCTTCAGAGCTGTTTCCGCCTCCGTCACCATGGCCTCCACATCGGCATCTATCATGTCCACATCGATCTCACCCACCGAATCGACGGTCTGGAATTTATTCAAATCAATCTCGCGCTCATCCACGCTATCATCCGACCCGGACTCATCGTTGCGGGCCTTATTCTGCAAGCATACAAAAATGAATAATTTATAGCTCTTGTTGATAAAGGCGGAATAATTTAAGTGGGAAAAAATCGTATGGGAAATGGAAGTCTGATTAAGAAATGCAAGAGGAAACAAAAAAATTATTAAGTGGGTTTGTGTACAAGAAAATTAATTCAAATTAAAATGGTAAATGATTCTTGTTACACCAAGTTCCCAGATCTTTTTGTAAATTACTTAAACTCACCCTAATGTGCTCCAGTGAGCAACGGTGGTTCTCGTAGAGCATGGCATTCTTGAATGCCAGATGGCAAGAGCCGCAGTACGGCATCAAGAACTTCTTGATAGTCTTGTGGTGCTCGGAGGCCTGGTGAAGATTCTTCGGCTGGCGGTAGGCCAAGCGGCAGAGGCGGCAGTACCGCGACTCGTGCTCCTCCTTGCTGTTCTCCTCGATCTCGCGCTGCGTCGTTCGCTGGCGGGCGCGCATGCGCTGCAGATCGGCTCGCTGATTCAGGGCCACTTGGCGCATGGAATTCTTGTGGGAGCGCGAGTTGAGATGGTAGTTGTACTCCTAGAAAATAAAATTAAAGGTCAGCTGATAAACATTTTAAAGTGTGAAAAAAAAAACCCACCTTGAAGGTCACACACTTGATGCGACAATGGACGCAAATCAGCTTGATGAAGCTGCGCTTGCGATTGTTGTGGTCATCGTCCCGATGGCGAGAGCTGCGTCGCTCCTTGCTGCGGTCATCGTCCGAATCGTCCTTGTCCTTGCGCGACGAGCGCTCCTTCTTACTCGACGACGACTTAGACTTCGACTTGGAGTCCTTCGAGTCGTCCTTGTCCTTCTTCTTACCTGAACTCGATGACTTCTCGGACGTCGACTTGGTCTTGGCCTCGTCACCTTTACCATCGCCATCGCCGGCTTCGGCATCGCCCTTTGCCTTGACATCCTCGTCATCGGAGGCCTCATCACCGGTCTTGACGCTCTTCGGACCACCGGACTCATTCAGGTCCTTGTCCTCATCGTCATCGCCGTCGCCGTGATTATCATCATCATCGTCATCGTTGCCATCGGCGTCGCTCTTGTCATCGTTGTTGTTTGACTTACTGCTGCGCTTTTTACCCGGTGACGTCTTCTTGCTCTTATCGTTCTTCTCATCATCGTCCTCTTCGTCATCGTCATTATTATTATCATCATCGTCGTCGTCGTCAGTGTCATCGCCTCCATCGGCGTCCTTGTCCTTGCCTTTCTTCTTCTTGCTTTTCTCAGCATCATCGCCATCCTTGTCCTCATTGCCGCTGGATTCGTCGCTGCTATTACCGCCCTGGCGTTGTCGTCGCAACGAGCTACATTTGGGTGGAATGAATTCGAATGTGAAGTCATGGTCAGGTTGGCACAGGATGTTTGGTTTTACTTTGTTTTTGTTTTGATTTTTTTTTTTTTTGGTAAAAGGCAAGTTCAAATTTTTGTGTCTTTATATAAAGTACATAAGAAGCTGGGTGGTAAACTAACAAAATACGTTCTTGTCACAGAGTGTCGGGTGTTTTTACATTTTTTTTTTTTTGGTTCGGTTTTTGTTCGAATTGTTCTACTTAGTTACACAACAAGATACACACGATGAATGGGGTTTCTCTGGAGGCAGCTCAGTTGATCTGGCACCGAGTGCTCTCCCCCATTCAGTTGCAGATTCCTCACAGAATCCCATCACAGTTCACACATTATAATCTCAATCTCACAGAGATTGCTTTCAATAGTTCTCTGCGTATCCTCAATTGTCTTTTTTGTTTGGAGTATATTTTGATTTTGATTTGTTTTTTGGTCTATTTACCTTTTCAACTGCTGAATCTTGAGCAGGCGGGCCCGGTCTTTCTGCTGAGCATAGAGCAGCTGGCGGCGCATGGTGCGCAGGTCATTCGATTCGTTGACGCGGGTGCGCACAACGCGCATACCACCCACCCGCATCCCGGTGCGCATCATGCCGCCCCGCATCGACATTGTGCCGCGGGGTCGGGATATATAGCTGGTGCCCGCCACGCTGCGCATCATCCGCTTCGGCGGACCCATCGATCCGTCCCGCTGATGGCGATGGCTACCGCCGCCACCGCTGGTCGAATCATCACGCGGGCGGTAGGAGCTTGAGCTACCGCCGCCGTTATTCCCGCCGCCAGTGCTGCTCCGCTGGTGATAGTTCGACGAGGAGGAGCCAACGTTCTGCGACGAGGACGAGGGTCGATCGCTGCGATCGTTCGACGAGGACGTGCGACGATAATCCTATTGACGATTGATGAGTAGGAAGGTGTGTAGGAGCTTTGGTTTTGGTTGTTTGATTTCGATTTTGTTTGTATCAAATATCAAATATAGGTGGTACACATTTATATTTATATAAAACATATATAGACTTGTTGGTTGAATGAAAAGAATTGCTATATAGCTACAGACTGATATTGATATTCTGGTTCTGATCTGATCGGATTGGTTGTGGGTTATATTATTATATCGCAATATGCTCTTATTGTTATTATTTCCTGCAGCGTGTTTTGTGTGTGGTAGCATGATGGAGAAACCTCAACGCTTATAGCTTAGCTACTTAGATTTGGATCGATATAATATGCATATGCGGATGTACACACTGATATAGATTTCTATATAGCTCTGCTCGGATTTTGACATTATTAACCGACATTCAAGACATTCGGTTTTCGCTTTTTATTATTTTTTGGGGAAAAATTTGACTGCTGGACTGCTGATACAAGACAAGAGATTTTACTGATCAAGATCACGTTAATCGCTTCAACAGTTCTCTACAGGAAGTTTTTGCTTTCTCATACTCGTATATGTGGAATCAGTTTGAATCGAATCGAATCGGATCGGATATCGATCGATCGGTCGCTGGCAAAAATCATTATCAATATATGCCCGCCGCGCCGCTGCCGATGCTATGGACAATACACAGATTTATATAGATTTTATGGTCTTATGGTCAGACGGTGCTCCAAAGTGCTTGTCTGGCAACTTTGAGTCCGCGCGCTGTTTGCTCTTTTTAGGACATGTTATGCTTTAACGCTCGATAGGCTCAACTCAGTCCCGCGTTTAAGCTTCACAAACAGTGCTATAAATATTTGGAAAGTCATTAACATTACACAATACAGTACATGGCGTTTGGCTTAATGCATAATTAGTATATATTGACCTTTGGAATAGCGTGCTTTTAGCATTGGAATTAGGGCAAAATATAACTTACGTCTTGGCGCGGGCGTTTTCGGTCATCGTTGCGATCACGAGAGGAGTCCTAGACACACATCGGATAAAAATACATTATGAATAAATATATTATATATATAGATGGATTTAGGTAATACATCACTCATTTCCTACACGACATTTCACTTTTACTCATGCATCTCAGGTAATTTGTTTCTGTGACAGTTGCAATTAGAATAAAAGGGAAAATTTTGAGTTCTTTGTATATTCAAAAAACTTTGTATTTTTCGTGAATTCATTTAACAGGGAAATCCTAGCAACGTAAATTAATAATTATTCTCAAAATTTTATTGTATGTATGTTTGAAGCATTTTTAAATTGTAAATAATATGAAAATACTATTTTTACCTCATTTGTATTTTCTGAACAGTATATTCCTATACACATATATTTTCCACAAAAATAAGTGTGCTGTTTATAAGCTGTTTTTAGAACGCAAGTTCTTTTGGACGAATCAAGAAGATTAAGTGGTTTTTTTTATTTGACTAAATATTCAATAAATTTTCAGTGCATTGTATAATTTGTGATAGCTAGAAATTTTTTTGAAGATGCGTTAGACAGATTATTTGCTAGAAACCTAGAGATAAACACATTTTGAATTGTGAGATTGCTAATAAGCAAACCTTCTTATCTCATTTCAATAAGGGAAATGCTAATCAACCTTTTGACCTTTCCGCCTCATTTTTACGATAAGATTTTTTATAGTTTAAATTATTTAAATTGATTACATTAAAAAATTGTGATTTCTTTATTCAATATTTTGACAGTGTGTTTTAAAGTGAGCGATATATTGAAAAATTTGCAATAAAATGAAAAATGTTCAAACTTACATAGCTGCGCTTGTGGCTCGAGGAACTGGACTCGTACCGCCCACCGCTGCTCGAATTGTGGTGGTTGAACTTGTCCCGACTCCTATTATCATAGTGGCTATTTCCTCCGCCTCCGTTGTTGTTGTAGCGGTTGTTGTTGTTGTGGTAGTTGTTCTCGTACCGTCCATTATTCGGGCGATAATTGCCCTGGGTGCGAGTATTAACATAGTTGCTGGAATTGCGATTGTTGTAGTATCCACCGCGAGTGGTGCCACCACCACGTGGAATGAATCCTCCGCGTCCGCGCATCTCTATGTTATTTTCTTTTTCTGTCTGAACCGAAAAAAAATGGCGAGATGCCGTAAAAAGATGATTATCAGATTTGCTCCGCCTCAGCGCGTATGTATGTGAGCGAAAAAGAGCAATCTGTCCAGCGCAGCACCCCCTTTTCCACGGATGTTAAACTTTTTTTTGCCGCCGGTGGCGTCGCTCGCTAGGACAAGAAATCGATATTCTGCCGGCCCCACATTTTTGCAGCTTATTTTCGCATTGATTTACGCTACTTACCTTTTGTCTATTACTATTCACTGATTCACTGAAGCAGACGCTACTTAAAAGTCTACTTTTCACTAGAAATTGCAAGTTTCCTACTGCTTTTCACAATTTTCCCGACCGAAACGGATTTTTTTTGCTCGAATGGGGGAAAAAAATTCTAGCAATGGCGAATGGCGCTGTCACTTTTGGCGATGTATCGTTTGCGATGGTTTTATTGATATCGATGTTTGGTTATTCGATTATATTTTGAAGTGTGGTGTTGCCAGATAGTAGAACCTGTGTTTTACCAGGGGTGGAATCTTTTTTGAATCCGTTTTTTTAATTTGATAATACATTATAAGTAAATTTAGGTAGTTTAATAATATTAAAAATTAATATATTTTTGTCTTGCTTTTTTGTTTTGACCAAGTGGTATTAAAACTCATTTCAAGTGGTTCTTTTTATCCACACGCACTTCCCAAAGTACTTTTTTTTCATACCCACATATGTAAAACACAATTTTAAATATGCAACTATATATTTATTTGTACATAAAGTCGATTTCAAAAGGTTTTCATTCTTTAAAAAAAATAGGTCAACCATTTCTTTGTTTGGTTTCAATCAAACCAACTCGGGACATAAATTTTTTATCCTTAGGATTTCGGGGCATTTTGGTGGAAAACATAATAGAATTTGTCAGATCGTGGATTTTAATGTTTTTGGAAAAATTGCTTCTCTGTTAATTTTCACAGTACCAATAAAATTACTTAACAGCTCAACAGCTTTAACGCACTATAAATGTATCGTAAAAACGCGTCAATCAACTAACACACACGACTAATTCAATAAAATGGATAACAAAACGATATCCGAACCAAAAACGAACTAAAAAATAAAACAATAAAGATTTCAATTGGCGATACGCTTTATTTTTCGCTAGAAAATATATCTTGATGTGTATATTTTCGATTCTTTGTACCAACAACTTAATAGCTAGGCATGGTAAAATTAAACTAAAATTATGCTCTTAAAATGCAACTGAAATTTTAAATGAACTAAGTTGGTAACTGCAAACAAATTAAATTCATAGCAACATCTCGTCGTGTTTCTCCGTTTCGTATTTCTATGTACATCATGCAGATATTATAATTAAGAAATGCACAAATAATTGGAATGCATAAACAAAAGGCAATTTGATAAACGCGGCGGAGGAAGACACATTCGTTTTTAATGCGATGGATGAACAATGAACTAAATATGGCAAAAATTAGATTAACATAAGTTCTAGACATTTAATTAATATTGGAAGAGCTTTGGAAACAAATCGGTGGAAGTAAGTTGAAGCTAACCAAATCATCTTTGCGTTAACAATTTACTTGTTTTTCTTTTAAGTTTAACATGAAATTAAATGCATTGAATAAATATAGTTGTGCGCGTGTATAATGTATGTATGTGTATGTGATTTGTGTGTATGCAAAATGGAAGTAAATTTGTTCTTAACAATGTTTTTTGTTTGTATCCTACAATTTGCCGAATACGTATCGTGTGTTTAACATTAGCTGTATGACAGTTATATAAAGTAAATATACATGTAGATGTATGTGTTTTTTTTTGCTTTTCGCATTTTCTCGTTTCTTGTATATAATAGCTTTCACATTTTGTTAGAATTATTTGCTTTTCGTTTGAGTCGCCTCTGGGCAACACGCCTAGCTTAGATAGTTTTTAGAAATTTTCGCTACGCCTAAAATAACTGGTATAATGTAGGTATTATTACACATGTAAATATAAAGATATATATATCGTGGATCTGCTATTTACATTTCATTTCATTTCGCTACTAATCATTAATGGTATGGTATTCCAACTTAGGCTAGGCTTTAAAAAATCTTAGCAATTTTTGAGTTTTTTTTAGTAGTTTAGGCTTATAAAGTTATCAGTTTTCAGTGGTTCTCTGCCCCATTTGCGCTCACAAGAGTGGAAATGCTCCTTCCATATTGGGTGTTTTGTTTGCGTGTATAAATAATGTTAGCACATACAAAAAATAAATAGGCTTATAAATATTTCGATTTCGCTTTCTTGTTTCTCTTTTCATATTGTTGTTGTTTCTGTTGTTGTTGCTGGTGTAGGCGGTACCGTAAAAATCTGGTGTATAAAAATCTGTTAATTAAAAAACTTAGTCTAGACCTTTACAACTCGTAAAAATTATACAAAAAAAGGAGCCTAGAAATTAGCACAAAAAAAAAAAACTGTTTGTACAGCAGCATCTCCTGGTTTGGAACTCCTCCTTCTCCTTCTCCTCCTCCTGCTCCTCGGTGTCCACAATGCCTATGCGTACTCCTTCCTTCACCTGGTCGTGATGATGGCCCGCGGCAAGGCGAATACGCACAACCTTGAACGCTAATAAATCGGCGGCGCCGGCTGCGATGACGATGTGGTGCTCGGTGGTGCAGCCACCACGCTGGAGGTCGTCGACGACGGACTGGAGGACGAGGCATTGCCGCAGTTATTGTTGTTCAAGTTGTTGTTGTGCCGCTGCAGCTGGTGGCTGCGCAGCGGCTGAAACTGCGACTGTTGCTGCTGCATCGACGACTGATGTTGCTGCTGCTGCTGCTGATGTTGCTGCTGGAACTGTATTCGCTGATGCTGATGCTGCAGGTTGTGCAGATAGTAGGCGTTCATATTGCTCGTTGCCGCCGGCTGATAAGGATACGCTCGAACATTCTGCATGGTCGGCAGCACTTGCTGCGGCTGGAACTGTTGCAGTTGCTGTTGCTGCTGCTGTTGTTGTTGCTGCTGCTGGTTCTGACGCTGCTGATTCAACTGGCCGGCGGCTCGCATCATGTGACAGTAGTTGTCATCGCCAATGGGCGCCTCCTTGCTGCCATACTTCAGCTGGCCCGTGATGCCCTGCTTGTAGTCCCGGTGATCCTTGTCGATGGCGTACGCCTTCTCCCGCAGCTTCTCAATGGTGCGCTTGAACTCCGCGAAGGCGTGCGGTGAATGCTTCTGCAGATCGGTGGCCAGCGGCACGAGGGGATTGTGCTGCTGGTGCTGCGTCTGCGACAGGTGCTGGTGGTAGGTGAGCGGATCGAGCAGCGACTCCAGCACGCTCATGTTGGACATGATCAGCGTGTGGATGCGCTGCAGATCGAGCGGGGGATCCAGCGCCGTCACCAAATCCATTTGCAAGTAGTTGATCTGCGTGTCCGAGTATTTATTGCACCCGGGCGAACTCTCATCCGAGCGGCCGCAACAGCTGTAGAAGCCACCAACAAAGGCCGAGGTATGCATGTAGCGCGTCCGCAGTGAGTTTATCTGCTGGATCTTGTGCAGCAGGTCGAACCACTCGCGCTCCTCCACGCAATTCGTTGTCTGCACAATCAGCGCCCGATCGTTGTGCACAATCTGTGGGAGAAGAGGCGAAAGTAAATCTTATTCTCATCTTCGCTCTGCTATGCTCTGTGTAATTAACATAAATTCTGTGTGCGCACGGTGTGGCTGGCAATTGCAAAACAATCGCACCCAAGTGAAATCGTTGGCTGAGACAATTCCCACATCTTGGCTAAGATAAAACACAAAAAAACAAAAAGACAAAATCGCACCCACAATGACGATTCTTTTCTGCGTCGGCTGCAAGTGTTTCTAGGTTTTGAAATTTCCCTTTTTTTTGTCTTACACTACGACGACGACCGGCAATAACAATAGTGTACGCAAAGCGGGCCTCTGCCAGCTCATCTGCATAATAATGCTAATTATTTTTAATTGCCACAACTTGTCATTCGGCGTACAAAACTCTGTGAGGGATTAGTGAAAGTTCCGCGGATTTCTTTTGGTTTTCTCTAGCGGAGAGGATGGGCCTGTTGCCGTGCTGATGCCACCGATTGATGGCTAGACCATCGATTAGCAGCCACTGTCAAACGCCCACTCAGCCACATGTCTCAGTCATGACTCCTCCTCCTCCACCAGTGGAGGCAGTGGTGGCATCTTTTCAGATGGAAGATTCAGGCTAATTTTAGTTGGCTGGTGAATTCGAGAAAGCTAATTAAAAGTAGAACAAAAAGGCTAGTTGATTGTGCTTTTTGTTAGAAAGTTAGAGTCGTAGTTTAAATAGGTTTTTCAACTTGGATTTCTTAGGCATGTCAGAACTATAAATATAAATGAAACTTAGTAATATTTTAACATTACATTCAACTGAGAACTAAGTAATGGAACATAATTTCTATTTGAAAATTCTGTGGCTTCACTTTACGAAGGAAATGTACTTTGGCTAACAGGAATAGAGTTCTTAAAGGAACCCTAAGTAACTCCCACCTTGAAAGCTTACAACCAACCGAGCAGATGGCTTGTAAAACCAGCTGAATTACCATCACTGCCCGGAGGCGTGTGGGCTTTTTGCTGCCTATTTATAGATGTAGCGTGGATCGCGCGTTTCCGGCACACTGATCGTGTGCATTATTCGCGTTGCATACATGGCACTCGCATCGCAGTAACCAAGCAGCCAAAGTGCTGATCCAAAAATCGAATGAATGCTCACCTTAAAGCAGTTCTGCATCTTGAAACTCTTGTCGTTCAGCTGCTCCACGCTGGCGATCTCCTGGAGCGGTATATCACAGATGGGTTGTTTGCCCTTCGACTTCGCGTAGCTGAGCGAGCGGGTGGTGAGGCGGAAGTAGCGCTGCTTGAACTGCCGGCCGAAGCGTTTCCGGGACGTGGGATACTTGGTCATCATGCTGCCGGGGGAAGGAGAGCAAAGAAAGCGGATTCTTAGCAACCACATGCCCTTCGGGATCTTCCAATCGGATCGGATCGGATCACTCTCTGTTCTTGTTACGCAATCGAAACAAAAACAGAGAGCTAATTGTTCAACAAATTACAAATTACAAGCAATACAATTTCTCTTACCCCTCGCTAGACGTTAGTATAGGTTTAATGTGTGTGATGAGTAAGTGTGATTTTTGTTTTGATGGGATGGTGATGGTGATTATGCGGTTGGTTTTGATTTCGATTTATTATTTGATTTGATTTTTTTTTTTTTTTTTTTTTTTTTTTTTTGGTAAAAGCAGCGCGCGGAAAAGAAGAGAAAGACAAAGAAAGTTTCGGTATTAGAATAAAACGAAGCGTATTCGAACCAAATGTCTTGGGGGTGGGGGATATGCCAAATCTATAGAACAGGGTATTTATAGAGGGAGGAGCATTGCACAGTCCACCAATTGATATTCTCTAGAGGCTACTAGGGGAGCATCCCTTGACCAGGCAAGTTATCCCTGCCCAGTCATTGGGTTTTTGAGGAGGGGGAAACCATCGAAATAAAGAACCCTCAACTTACCCCTCTTTAAGTAATACTGGTTCCAGGGGAGTCGAATCCATCAGTGTGTGAATGCTGCTGCTCGCCTTGTTGGGCGTCGAGATTACCTCCAGGAAGTGCTTGACCGCCTCCACGTGCTGCTCCGTGCAGAATTTCTTGTATAGCTCGACGGTGAACTCCTCCTTGCACGTCTGCTGCGACGATCGGGAGCTGACCAAGTTGCCCAGCGATTGGATCGTCTTGGAGATCAGGGTCAGCGTGCGACTCGTCTGTGCATCCTGTGAATTTAATATAAATAACATAAATGGATGTTTATGAATCCGAATTAAAGGGTAAAGCATTAATGTTAATCCCTGGTTTACTTACCAGTCGCTCGGTGGTTAAATCGAAGAGTTTCGGTCCCAGAATGGCCGGAGCAAAGAAGCGCAGGAAAATGAAGCCGGAGACCACGGAGTAGCGCACCTCGCGATTGCTGGGGAAGTGCTTGCCCGCACATTCGCGCAGGTCATGGAAGATCTGGCACAAAACCTTCGGACATCGATCCGCACTCTTTGTGATCGCCTCAAAAACCCTTTCCACGTAATCCTGCAGGTTGTGCAGATTCGTGTCTATCGCCGAGCGATCCTTGATCTTGCTGGGATCGATCTCGCAGGGTTTCTTCTCGGCCACGATCTGCGAGAGAACGGGACGCAGTGTTTGATGGAGATAGTGCAGGCCGGACAACCGCATCGCCTCGTCCATCATCTTGGAGACCAGCGTGTTGCCCCGAAAGATGGTGGTGGGATCTGTCAGATGGGAGATCTCGTGATCCGCCAGCACCTTGATGATCGGCGCAATGCGCTCCTTGTACGTGAAGATCCGAACGAGCGGTTGGGCCACCTCCGTCTTGCCGGAGACTAACTCTCCGAGTATGGAAACAGCAGACACGGTGATGGGTCGCTGATCCTCCGACTCCGCCAAAAGATTCAGCAGATCATCGTAGGTGGCCAGCGGGAAGACATGATCGGCGGTGTAGTTGAGGTTCAGTCGCAGCGATCCGATGGTCGAGTCCACGCTCAATCTCGTCCCCGGGGGCGTGGCACATGAGCGGGGCGTGGCGTTCAGCGAGCGACAACTGTGCGTCATGGAGCGCGGTTGCAGATAATACCAAGCCGACGATGGAACCGCCTGTTGCTCCTTGGCATTCAGCATCGGTATCCGCACTTCCCCAAGGAAGACTTTATCGGACATCGCTCCGTGTGCATCGTGCCACACGCTGACCACGATCTCCACCAGATCCGCCACGCCCTGTGGATAGATGGCATAGCCCTTGTTGGCGGTGGATTCCAGGGAACCGGTGCTCTTGTTGCTACCAGTGGTATTTGTGCTTCCCGGCTCGGCATCGATGTGGAGATCAAAGTACATGGCCTCGTCGAACTCCGGATTGACGGTCTTCTTGCGCTGCTTCGTCCTTCGCGTCACCTGCTGCTTGTTGCTGTAGTGCGCGGTGCAGACCACGAAGGGATCACAGGTGCCCTGCTTCTTCGAGAGATCCACGCAGGTGGGCACTTTGATGGTGACGCCAACGCTTCTCGCATGCGACTTCCAGCCGGCCAGCTGTTCCGCCGATGTGGAGGATGTGCTGTTGATCGTCTGAATGTGCTGCGATGGCGGACGATGCACGTGACCAAATAGTCCAGCAGCTCGGGTTTTCAGCGTCATTGCTGCGGTCGAAGAGGCCGCCGCCGCAGCAGCTGCCGATCGCTGCTGGATGTTGCTCAGTTCGCTGTTCTCCTTGTAATCGTTCAGTTGCGCCCGCTGCTGCTGGAGATTGTGGTGCTGGTGCTGGTGGTGGAGGTGCGTCGACAGGTGTTGGCTGTGCCCCAGTGTGTGCTGCACCAGATCGATGCTCTCCGCCAGCGATTGGCTCTGTTGTTGGGCCTCCGTGAAGGCAACCTCCACGTTCACCATGCCCTGCACCTCGGAGTCCTGATCGACTGGTCGAAGGGAGAACCAATGGTCCTTGTGATTGTACATGTGCAGCTCCTCGCGCTTGATCGCTATCTTGCCAATCGGCTTGTCCTGCTTCATGTCCCGATCCCACAGATAGATGGTCAGGTAGCGGAAGCGACGCGGGATCTTGAACTGGTGCTCCTCGCCGAAGAACGGCATCAGTGTGCGTTCGATGGTCGGTGTGCGGAAGATCTCCTCCTGGTCCAGCGCAATTGTGCAGAAGACATCGCGGGTGCCCTGTGTGCTGCAGCTTGTGTTGGCCGCATTGCGACTGCTCAGATTCTTTGCCTCGCCTGGAATTAGATAAAGATGGATTAATTACCAAGTTAATAATGCATTTAAAGAGTTTAAAGTGGGTCAAAATGGCTTCTTCAAGATTAATTATTGAGCAAGTAAATTAACCATTTATCAAGCCAAACGAGTATAACCCTCATTACTTAGAGTTCCTAAAGATTACAGTCTTGGTTCAAGGTGAGCACATAAGCTTAAGATTAAGTGATTATCTAAAGTGTTATTCGAGTAAAATTTGTTTGTTTCCTGAAAAAGTTAAGACCACTTTAAAGGCGACGGAAAAAAGTAAATCATTGGGGAAACCAAAAACTGATTTACTATATTATTAAATGATAACGAAAAGCTCTTTTAAAATGTGATATATATAATATACAACGAAAACTTTTCTATTAATAGCTAACAAAAGTAATAAAGAAACCTAATAGTCATATTAAAGAACAGCTATTAAAAAGTCGGCCTAAACACACACTTTCTCCCATCAACCGGAAAGACTGTTAGCCGCTATCAGTCATTCATTAGCATTATTAATGCAATATTATCCCCCCATTTTGGCATCAACAGATGTTTGGCCTTGACACCTGCCAACTGCTGTTGTAAAGGCTGTAAAAAAAAAGGCACAACAAGCGCGCCTTATCCATTACAGCACTTATTCGATTCGAGCGGGCTCTTTTGATTTCCGAAAACGGTCAGCGGACGTGACTTCCTGTGCGAGTGTCGAGTCGATACCTATATATCGTATATATACTGTATAGTATCGTATAGTATGGATGGTGGTCGCAATCTATAATGGATGCTCCGTCACCTGGGACACAACAAACACACACACGCACAGAAAAGCCAACCAAGGGGGGCAGGGCTCAATCACATTCGCATTGGCTGGCGCTTGGCTAGACTGAATAGTAAACGCTTCTAATAAACGAACGGCAGGCCTTGATAAGCGCCAAAGGGTGAAGGCGCTCGGCCCACAAGGCAAGTACATACGTACTATACTATAAACTTGCTCAATGAAAGAAATTAGCGGCAGTCGAGCGGAAATATAATAAGTGCACGCACACTCCTTCAGTTTTACGAGTCGAGTGTGCTGCTCTGTATTTTTACCGGGAATTGTATCTGTATCTTTTTGTGGCAAATTCGGTTTCGCCAGCTTTTAACAGTAAAACTTCCATGACTGGCACTTTATCATCTGCCTTATAAATGATTTGAGGTGCACGCAATTAAGAAAATTTTAAATATAAAAATAAAGAACTGGGTGTTTAAATCCCATTAATTCCTATAGATTAGAAATGCTTAAGATTGGCTGTTGGACTACTTGATATTTTATATAAAATAAGTTAGGAAAGGTTATTTTGACTTGATAGTTCGATTTACCGAAGATTTTTTCAAGAAAGTTATATTTTAAAAAGCTTGACTGTAGCTGAAGTTTGTTTTTCATTGAGAACCCGGCTGCCCCGCCCCATTTTCCGACCCTGTTGACACAGCTGGGCGGTAGACTTTATATATATATATGCTATATATGTACCATGTGTGCTTGGAGGTGAGCTATAGCTTCGTTTACATATACGAAGCTCGTAGGTTTAGCTATCGCGACTATCAATGGGGTTATACGTTATATGTCCGCCTGAGTATCTGTGTGCTGGCAAAACAACGGCACTTTTCACAATCACAATCGCACACTCTCACACTTTTACTGTGCGTTTGTCGTATGGAAACAAGAAACCCGCCGATAACAAAGACATTCGTTTTCTTTTTCCAACATGTGAGTTTTTTCTTTCATGAATGAAAAACCCCGCGAACAGAAGCACATTTTATATGCAAAGTTAACTAAAAGCAAAGCAATCGGCAAAAAGGCTACAAAACAAACACAAAACGCCAAATGAAGAAAAAACAAGAGTTGGGGTTTTTTCTTTCTTTCTTTCTTTATATATATATATTTCGGTGGAGAAAAGCAAAACAGTAAATTTCATTCATAAAATAATAGTGGTGGTAGTAAATATAGGAGAAAGAGGAAGGAAGAGAATTAAGGGGGAAACCCGGCACAAAAAATGTGTTGAAATTTTTTGCGTTTCTGTGACGTTTATAATTTATTTGTGTGTTTTTTTTTATGGCTTTGCCTTGTCATTGACTGCCCCACTGAATGTTTTTATTACTCGTTTCATTTTCGTTTTTAATACCCTTGCGGAGGGTATAAAATTGTTGTTTACCAGTTTGTAACGCATTGAAGGTGACACTTTTGACCCTATAAAATTATATTGTTTCTAAGCGAGTTACTAACTGCTAAATTATAAATAAAAACGCTATCTATCCTACACATGATTTGATGCAGCAATACGTCGATGCTTAAAAGAAAAATTATTGCAACTTCTTATCTTAATTTGCATAGCTTCAAGGGTATATAAAGTTCGACATGTCTTACTTTATCTGTTTTTTTTTTTTTTTTGAGGCATTCGAGACAGACTGACAATTCAAGTTTTCTAAATATAATGACATAATTTGCGGAATTTCGATAAATTTCGCTTACTCACCGACAGAAAGCTATAATAAAGAGGTGATAAGGGGGAAAAATTGCAAAGCGAATTCCATGGAATCGAACGAGCCCCCACAGCGACTGGCGAAATTATATTCTATTCATTTTGCTTAGATATGGAATGAATGTGGATATTCGTCCGATATCCGACCTTCAGATGCATTGGGAAACACTATAACACAATCGCAGTGATGGACGCTTGGGTGTGCATATATCATCTTACATATGCCAAACACGATAAACGGAACCAGAGCTCGATGAACTGGGAGAATCCAGAAGGTTTAAGCATGGATAAAGTCAAGCGGAAGTTGGCTCATCGATTTTTTTTTCGTTTAATGGGTGGAGAAGCATTTTCGACATTTTTGCACTTCCATGAGAACGGAAGTGATACGATTGCTTAATATTATATTATATATTTTAATAGGAATTCGAAGATTTTTTAAAGAGCAAGCGGAAGTTTGTTTATGACTTTTTAAAAGCTGGAAAATTATACAACCGATATCCCTATGGAAACAGCAAAAATTGCTCATATTTAAAAAAGAATGCGGAATATTTCTGTGAATGTTATATAAAACCAAACATTTTTTATACAATTAATATTTTTATTTTTTAAAAACACATAACTTACTAGTGATTTACTAACAAAACTGATAAAACTTTGAAGATTCATTTGGTGTAAACACAAATACATTAGATCATTGCTTAGTAATTTGTGGTTTATAATATGTATAATTAGTTATTCGGAATTACCGAGATGAATAATACCTTTTGAAATTTTATGTTAAATAAATATGTACTGAAATTTAAAAACCAATTAATTCATTATCGAACATTGTTTACGCAGACTTGGTGTGGGTGATCGAAAATTAACCAGATCGCTGGGATTTACATAGAGATATATCCCTTTGCAAACAGCATGAAAAACATGCGGCATGTTTCTTTCAACATTTTCAGGGGACCCCAAAAATAGAATCATCCTGCCATGTGGCACATGGTTATATGCCACGGCTCCAAAAAACGAAAATCGAAAACTTCTAAAGTCAGCACCGCTAACCGTGGAAATTGCTTTTCCTCCACAACATTGACATTTGCCTTGGGGATGCGAAGTGGGGGAAAATGAAAATTACAACACGATCTCATTTCCACACCCATCATTATTGGGTCGAAGGCAGGGTCTCATTAAATGCCTGAAATTTCCATGATTTCCTTCGCAGACGGAAAATTAAATTTAAAGACTCTGAAAGTAGATTTCCTTTTTTTTGCCCCCCACTTTTCGCTTTTCTGCACAATATGCAAATTGATTCAGTGCAGCATGAAACGCGCGCGAATTAATGAGGCGATTACTCCGCGAGTGCTGCGAAAAAAAAGAAATAAAGAAGGAAGCAGACAAGCAGACATCGCTGTAATAAATTCTAAAAAGGCAAAAACAAAAACCAGCCAGCAAAAGCAGACATTTATGCAAAGGAACGGAAATAGAGATAAATTCTTGTGTGTATGTGTGTGTTGTTTTTTTTTGTATTCCAGCTGCTTTGCGAGCGGAAGGGAGATTTACACAGACAGATCTTTGTGTCTGTCTGGGCTGTTTGTTTAAACGCCAGCTTCCTGCGGCCAAAATGATTGTTTGCACTTTTGGCGGAAAGGTGGGAAAGAAGCCCTTGGCTTCTGTTGCATTTCCCTGCACTCGATTCTAAAGCCCTTGTGTACATCATATCCCCTTAAGTACACTTCCTTTTTCCGCTGCCACTTCCTTTGGCCATAAAACCAGAAAGGGCTCTCCTAACGTGTTGCGCAATTAGCCAGTTTGTGGTTGAAATCAGGTTCGTTAACTTCAGCCTAAACCAAACCCTTTTTAGCCGCACAGAAAGATGTAGATCACTTAGGAAATGGTATTAAAAAATCAATTGTGATTTATGGTTTACAAACCTACTTATTATGTCTTACTTATCGTACTTAATTTAAGATTATTATTGTTATACCTGGACATTTCCTTTCAAAATGAGATCTAATTATAAATACTTTTATAGTACAAATTCTTTTTGAGCATTAAAAAAGTTTATAATTTATTAAAAAGGTATCAAACAGTAACGTTTTATACCACCTATTTCTAAAATACATTTTCTTTTCCTTTGTAACTTAGTGCATTTGGATTATTTTAGAGAAAAAGAGAACCCGAAACCAGTTTGTTGCCATCTCTTTCCCTCCTCCCCTTTATTTCTCTGTACGTGCTGATCGATTTCCGGTCTGATTACGCTTCTCAGATCATCTCACGATCTTCTCCTGTTGTGGCCAACTTTGTGTGGCTTCTGCCCTATGCATGTTTATTGGCTTTTCATCGACGTCATTGATCTGGACTGTGTTTATGAACAATTCACGCTGTTTATATGGCATACACCCCGTATATAGCATCTTATCGTTTATATCAAAGTCCAGATGAGTAATTCCCAATCGAATAATCATTCCTGTCACCACTCCGAATTTCAATCCAAGCCATTGCTTTCTTTGGCTTAAATTTTCGTGTTGCCAATTTACCTTTTTGGCACTATTAACCTTCAATTGCACACATCACTCAATGTGAGCGACGCGAACGCACGACTTTTATTTCCAAATGGCCAAATTGGGCAGACGCCTATTACTACGAAAAAAGAAAAAAAATTAAATAAAACTAGAAATGCCGCTCATTAGAGGCAAGTCAACTAGCGACGACACAAAAACTCGCCTGACTGTGTGCCATAAAAATTTAATAATGATAAATACACTTTTTGTAAGGCGCCCACACAATTTGGAAGGCGGCTGCGAAGCAACCAAGCCAAATTGGCCTTGGCCAAAAGCGGTTTTCTATGAGCCGATATGTGGAATATATGAGCCAAGGATCAGCGATTGACAACGCTTTGTGGGAACAAACATCGTTATGCAATTAAAGAGAAGGTTGCATTATTAGGAAATCACAAATATAACCATCAGGGGTTATAATAAATAATCTAAGGAACCAAAACATTGCATAACTCAACAGAAGGTTAAATTGCTAGATGTGGATATAGGGAACACTTAACCGTCATTATTCCACGTGGTTTTGAGCAACCCCTCCCTGAAACTCTTCAAGTCGAGTGGTTTAGGCGCATCTAACGACTCCAAACGATCCCTCATTTCCCATTAAAAACTTGTCCCCAGCCTTTAACAATTCTTGGCCCCTGACATTTCCGCTGTTGTGTTACCTTTTGAGAAACTACCACAGAAACCTCAGAATAAACGACACTTGAAACGAGCCAGCGAAGCGAACAAATTGTGGCTTCAAATTAATAACACAACCCAGCTCCGAAAAAGTGAAATAAAAACAGAATTCATTTTAATTACAAATTACAAGAGACTGATTGTGAGATGGAACCGAGCGAGTGAGTAGCTCCAAAGAAGCGCCACAATAAAAACAGAGGGACAGCGTGAAGTTCAAAGCCTTGGGAGGTGGAGATCCGGACGACAACTGACCGGGGGTTCCACCGATGCCTCTGACCCCAACTAAAGTCAACAACATCAAAGTAAATGCGAGGAGGTCAAGCGTTAAGTCATAAAAAGGGCCCTCTTAAAAAAAAAAAAATTGGTTGGGGAAAAAGGGAAATGGGAGTATGTATAACATTATAACATGCTGCTGTCTTATTGTGGAAAGCAAGAGATAAATGTTAATCATCGCAGGCAGAGTCATCAACGTCATCGTTGTCATTGCGATTGTGATCCCCCTTTCCCCACATCTACACAGAAAAAAACTATATTTTCACTTGATAGAACCACTTAAGGGAGCAAAAAAAAGTGAATAGCATTTAATAAGCAAAATTTTCTGCAAATTATAGTGTATATATTAATGGAGATAGATTGCTGCTATAAACATGGCATAAAGAATATCCTGTCTTATAAATAAAAGACTAAAAACTATATAGTGAATAGCATTTAATAAGCAAAATTTTCTGCAAATTATAGTGTATATATTAATGGAGATAGATTGCTGCTATAAACATGGCATAAAGAATATCCTGTCTTATAAATAAAAGACTAAAAGAATAAAGCTCAAAACAATATCATTTCCAAAAGGTTGCCTTTTTCTTTCTGTACCTGAAAGCCACAAGCAGGCCGACTTCGACCTGAATAAAAAGTATTTTAGAATGCGCTAATTACATAAAAACTCAGCTTCCTTGGAAGCGGCAAACAAAGTTGTTGGCGACTAACCTCGCTTGGCCAATAAGCCCCCGGCCTTTAGGCTAATTAACATTGTTCCCCGCCATATTTTCAAATGAAAATATTCCACTTTAATTGTGTGGCTCAGGCTAAAAAATATATGTATTAGAAAAATGATTTAAAGACACGACCCGAGAACTAATTGTCAACATCGCTTTGGCTTCCAAAGAGAACCAGCTAGAAAAGTTTCAAGCGATCTTTGGCTCGTTCAATTGCAACCAGTTTTGTTGGCCTGGTCGAGTGGAGCGGGCGGTGAGGTGGAAACTTGACAACAAACTGGAGAACAAGACGACAACACAACCGGCTTTTAATTAATTACCTTTTTTGGCCAAACTATTTATTGTTGTTACAGAACTAAACAGAACAGAACAGAACAGACTTGACTAGTCCATGTTAACTAGATATCTCTGTTCTGGGTCTTCAAGTTCAACGAAATCTCAATTGCGTGTGGTCTGAATTGTGAGTAATTCCCCCCCAGTATATGTCATTGATATTCACTGGGAGATCGGTAGTGAGTCACATACATACGTACACCCACACCCCTCTCTCTCTCCCTCTCCCTCTCCCTCTCTCTTCTTTTCTCGTAGAAAACGAAATTTAGGTTATGCGCTAAACATTTTAATTAAGTGGAAAAGTATTACGCCAATTTCGGTCGGGTGGAGGTTTCGTGTAGAAATCGCTATGGCCAACAAAATGGAAAGCTTGCAACAATAGCAACAAAAAGCGAAACTCCGTGTGTAATTGAAACTGAGCACGATGTGGAAGTATTATTATTAAGCATGCAAAGCATAATGAAGTGGAAATATGAAACTTGGGAGAAGAATGCAGGGAATATGGCATTTATAACGCTACATATATAGCGGATGGGAACGAAACCGATTGGTCGGGGGTAAAAAAGGTGACACAGCTAATGTGCTATAATGATGCGATAATCAATGATGATTATAGGAAATGACTAACTTTCATTCTCCAAACATCGGAAAGAGTGTTTCTATTTAAATCTAAATAAAGAATTTATAATGATATATTTATTTTATTTTATTAATGGTCAAATTTCCTATATAATTGCTGTATTGTTTTGTTAGCAACCACCATTTTTAACCAATTCTATTGGGAGTCCGATGTAATATCTTCGAAGAATCTCTAAAGGAAGTGCAAATTTTAACCACAAAAGCAGCTGAAGAAAATAGAGGTAAAGGGGCTAATTTGCCATAACGACCCGATAATCGAAGGAAGTGCATAACTTTCGTTCAGTCGTTACAGAAACGTGTTTTAATTCATTTTTAACCGATATTGTGCCAACTTCTTCAAAGAAGAACCCAAAAGGGCGCAGCAGGCTTAAAGCTGCCGATGGTGGAGGGGCACAAAGGAAGTGGCGAGAATAAGGTAGGCAGCAAAGAGGGGACAAAGACAGAGGCGCATGCGAAAACAATTGAAGCGTGCAAAAAGCAGCTGGAAAGCGAAGATAAAAAAAAAAGAAAAGAAAGGAAAAAGCAAGAGTTTTATGGATGAAGAAAAAGAACCCAAAACCGCATCACACGAAGGGAAACTTTGACGATGGGAAACGGAAATCAAAAGCGGCTACAATGTTGTTGTTGCTGCAGCTTTGCATATTATTTACGTTGCGAGCGTAGCAAAAGCTGCTTATGAGTTGCGAGATTGAAAAATTGTGAAGCAAAGGTAAAAATAAATGCGTGTGCAGGTGTGAAATTGAGATCACGGCAACCCTTTTTCCCCCTCCCCCCGCCTGTGGTTATTCATAATTCAGTTTTACGTTTCTCACGAAAAACAAGGCACAGACAGGAAATGTTAAACCACCAAGACCAACCGCAAGTTTTTTAGCCCCTCTCTTTTTTTCTTTTCCTATCTCTCTCATGTTTTCCAGAATGAAATATATGGAAGAAGCGAAACTGAGAGAGTGTCATTCATTCATTTGACCTTTTGCCAATATATAGTAAGCCATTAATCGATGCTGCTCTTTTCGCTTGTTGCTACTGCCCCCACCCCATGATAATCATTCATAAAACAGACACCTTCGTATTGAGAAAAGTACACCGAATTCGAAAATTCCATTCATGAAAAAACCCACACATTGTTGCTGGGATCTCTCGCGTTTGCTCTGGTGTGTGTGTGTGAGCATGCGCTGGAGCGTCGCACACCAACACATATGCTTGATTTCCGATTCATTCACAAAAAGGGGGGCGCATTCGAAACGGCAGGGGGAGTGGGTCGAGGGGGTGATATAAACTGAATGCCATAACATTCAGCCTGGTCATCCAATGCTTTCCAGCAGCAGCAACCACAAATGCAATTGCACTGCTGCTGCACCAAAATGGGGAAAAAACATTAGGAAAAAGCAAGAGAAGCAACACGCACACACAGACACAAACACTGGGGAGCAACATGCGAGTAGGAGAGGGACAGCATGTTTATACACTTAAACACAAAATGCATTTCTAGAACAAAAACACATTTGATTGTTTAAATTCAAGATTTGCTCGGCTTCGAACTAATAAAACCGAGATTTGCCACTTTATAGAACACTCTTGTTGGAATTTATATGTTGATTTGCCCCCTTTTAGTGTTGTTTTCAGCACAGAGGGACTCCGCGGGGCGACGGCGACGCTGTCAACATTCCAGCACACTTTGCACTATGAAAAACTCTCGTTTCGCCGCGAATTTTATTAAACTATCATGTCCCGCATGTTCATCTTCGTTTGTTTAGGGTTTTTAGACAATTCCGCACTAGTTTTACATACCAATTTTCACTTTTAATTGCTCTTCAATGCGCACTTCGCGTGTTTCGGCCATTTTGTTGTTGTTGCTGCTTGGCTCGACGGCGACGAACGAGTCAATAGCGCCGTCTCGCTCGTCGTGCATATAGCGCTTCTTCTTCAGCAGCATTGTGCGCCCGTTTTCATAGCAGGCGGCTTTCTGTCGGTCACTCCCGTTTTTACTTGCAACACGCGATTATAAATTGTGTTGGATTGTTTTTCGAATTTTAAAGCGATATTTTCACACGGGTTAGTCTTTTGAAGGTTAATTAATTGGTTATCGCACTTCGTTATTATTCACAAGATGCAGCGCTGCAATCCGTGCCGAGCTGAATTGACGAAAAAATGAGTCGATTTGCCGCTCACGAAATGCACTTTTCCTGTTGCTTTGGATAGGATGCAAAGGAATTCGTTGACACTACTGTTTTTGACATGCACAACAACACAAGTAACTTAGAAAAATTTTAATATTCTCGTTTCACTCGCAATCTCTTATTTTTCCGAAGTTTTTTACTTTGCAATTTGCGCGTCGGAGCAACACAACCTTCTCGAATCGAACTCAAAAATAGAGTGACCGCTAGTTTGTTGGCTTTTCCTAGTGGCAACTAGTGTGACCGGTTCACATCACACCAAAAATATCAAAAGAGAACTAGTAGGTGAAACTGTCTATTAACAAGTGTCAGAAACTTTAATTTGATAAAACAATTCCACGTTGTTTTTAACAATGAGAACTTTTGTTTTTATTATTTCAGTGGTTAACTTGTACTGTTAGAATCAGATGAAATAGATCTTAAGTTCCGACTCGATAATTCAAGAGTTCCTGTTATCGAACTTTTTTAATTAATGAAAATGTCAGTTAAAAATTTGTTTGGTGAAATGCAAAATGACTAGTTACTAGTCGTCCTCGTTGTTAATTTTAACACAATCAAATTATAACTTGTGTATTATGCATTTAGAGTAAAAAGGTCTACTTTTTTATTTTTGTTAAACACCGAACCACAAATGTGTTGTAACACCGCCAAAACGAAACTGAATTAAAATTTCCAAGCGGCAAGTGTACGCACCTCCCGTAATTTTGTGAATGAATACCAATACACACAAAAGGTCTCGTACACTCAGGCAAACACATGTTGCACCGGCGCCAACAGCGGCGGAAGCAACGAACCGACAACTGAAGATCGAAACGGAGAAAGTCCTGCTCTTAGGCGACCCAAAGAGTGCTCTACCATAAAACCGTTCAATTTAAAACCAATGTTTTCTAATTTTTTGCTATAAAAACAAAAATAAGAAATCTAATAATGTTTAATTTTTGTAAATACTTAACAAAAATTTAGTTTTCAAGTTCAATTGGTTTTGTTAGTATATGAATTTAATGCGATAATATATGTATTTACAGAGTTGAACTGCTGTGTTACAAACGTAATTGAAATAAACCGAGATGCCCTCCCTTAAGCAGTGTAGTGTACCTTACGTGGGCGTTCTGTCTCACAGACAGAGCAGAGGAAGCAGCCAAACTACACATATTAAAAATACAAATATCCAGAAACGAAACAAGGCAGTGAAATGTGAAATTCACACGGCATCCGGAGAGCAACGCCGGCTGACTTTAAGTTGTTTTACGCATATGTCGGTTCTTCTTCTTGGGGAAACCACATGCATCACAACAGAAGCGAAATACTCACTACAACAACAACAACAACAACAAAGTAAGACGATGGTCATATCACAACTGCCGCCAATAAGTGGAAGTAGTTGGGTCAACATTTAAAATATGTTGTCCAGGTCGTTTGGGCTAGGTTTCATTGTTTCCGAATGCTGTTATTTGTCCATCCCACTCCCTTTAAATGCACTGCCAAAAACGTAGCTCTAAGGAAGTCTAAAGATTTATTTTATTTTAGTACACTTTGGAAAGAATTTTTATTTAGAGTTAGAAAAAATAGGATTTTAATTACATATGTATACTATGGGAGAGAATTGTTAATAATTTTATAAGTTATTTTTTTTCTTTCTGTGTAAGGTAATATTTGTTAAGAAGGTTCACGATGATAGTTTCTGTGTAACGTGCGTAACGACAATTTGAATATGTTGATCATTTCGCTCAACGAAACGTAACCGACGTGGGAAGAAGAAGAGATATGGGTTTTCTTATTTTTCCTCTCCCGCTGTCCAGTCGGTCCCCTTCCTGTCCCCCTTCTCCTCCCACGAATGTTGGTGCAAGGTGCACATGGTGATAAAAATAGTTTTTTGTGGCTGTTTCATTCGATTCAATGAGTTTACGGGTGTTGGTTTCAGGTTTTCGGCTATTTTGTATTCCCCATTCCAAATAACTTTTATATTTACGTCCGGGAAAGTGTTTTGATCATTTGTCTAGCTTCCGTTATTATTTCGTTATGAATGAAAAATCTCCATTCAACCGGGCTCTGATCTGCCTAATTTATCACATTTATTCTGTATTAACTTGCTTTTAACATAAATTTTGGGTTCATAAAAGGGCTTACTATGTTTGATGTGGGCCTATTTTTTCTTATCCACCGCCTGTTAATGGGAAGTTTACACATAAATACTCATAAAAACTCTTAACGTGGGTTTTCCTAATCTCATTTCAAAAACATTTACCCGCTAAGAGGAAAAAGCTGTTAAACAGATTTATAGATGCCTTTCAAGCTCCAGATACTATTCAATTTATGTATTTTTAAATGTATACTAATGATGGCAATTAGGGAATCGAAATATATGTGTTTTGAGAAATAACTTAATATTGATTTGAAAAAAAGAAAGATATAAAGCGAAATAATTTTATGATTCAAGGGAACTAAAATATTCCCTAGATTATTTAGCTAATTCTATAACTCACCATGCCTAATCCCTATGACATGTGCCCACCACAAACCAGAATTTCTCATATTGTTACAGATTTCGGCTTGATCTGTGGATTAAGTCAAATGGCCGTTTGGTTTTTTGTTTATTGTTCAGAGAGTGTTTACACGCATATGATTTCTTTTTATAGTATACAATAGACACTTAACGATTTCCATGTAATGTAGTCAATTAGTTAAATGTAATGTAGCAGTTTTTTAGGTGTCCTCTTGAGTTGCGATTGCATCATTATTACATAACTTAATTTTTTTTTTTTTTTTTTTTTTTTTTTTGGCGCGCTAAACGTAAAGCTTAAAATTTAATCATGTTGATTGTTTTCGTAAACAATTAACCTTAAATGAAATACTTAATAAAAGATCGCATGAAACAATGTATTTTCTTTTGTTTGTGTGGGTGTGTGTGCTTGTGTGTGTGAGAGCGTTGGTCGTATTTGGCAGCCTGGTGGGGTCAGGATCAGAATCAGGACCGCGTGCTCCTCCAACTGCTTGTCACGATGCCAACTCCAGCTCAACGGCAGCCAAATTAGGAAACGATAAACAAACTGCAAGGAAACAAAAAAGAGATTGGAGAATCAGCATCAAAAAGTACTCATTGGCAAATTATTGTATATAATCTACATGAACAAGAATTTATCTTTGGAAGGGTTACGAACTTTTCGCTATAATACAAGTATGTAATTACCTCCGCAGGCTAATAAAATACAATCTTCTGAGTGACAGAAATGGCAAAGAATTTACAAAATGTTTAATGACAAATAAGGCATCACATGCTTTTTAAATAAAATTCTTGAAACCACAACTTTTTTTATATGCAAATAGACAGTTTCATTACATTACCAAATTACTCGACTAAGGGGAAAATAAATAACTTAAAGCAAAAGGCACTTTTCAAGAAAACGATAAATTATACTTAGTTACTTATAAATAATTATAATCATAAATCAATTATAAGCTACTCAAAGAAATCGTCCAAATGGTTTCCGAACTTTTACTTACTTTTTTCTCAACTCATCGAACGCTATTTGGGCCCGCCTGCGGATGGGTTTCCCTGGCGTCCAGAGCGCGTCTTTCGTCTACTTGTTGTTGATAGACAGCCGCTCGACGCTGGCGAGCAGCTCGTCTGCGGTCTGGGATACGACCTGCTCCTGATCGTCGCTGGTGCTCAGGTTCTGCAGGCGCTTCTCCAGCGCCGAGAGGTCCTCCAGCTCGCGCTGCTGCTTCACCATGTAGCGCAATATCAGCGTGGTCAGCATGCACATGTCCTCCAGGATCTTGGCTGTTTCCGGCGTGGGATGATCGTAGCGATTGCGCAGCAGCCTTAACTTGGCCTCAGCCAACTCCAGCGGCGACTTATTGCTGCGGTCGTACATGTGGACACTGGCACCGCCCTGCAGCAGAACGCCTACCACAATGTTAAAGTTATTGGAACTGGCCGAGATGACGGCCAGATGCAGTGGCGTGTTCCCCAGTGAGTCGACCACATTAGGATTGGCGCCGTACTTCAGAAGCTGCTGGACAATGGATACGTAGCCACGGCAGGCGGCCAGATGCAGGGGACTGCGATTGTACTCATCGGCGGCATTTGGATTGGCGCCGCTCTCCAGGATGCGGTTGAGCAGCTCGATGTTGCAGGTGGAGGCGGCGGTGCGCAGTTTGCGGCCATTGGACTGGACAAGTATGTTGCTGTAGCTGTAGGAGTGCTTCAGCCGCTGCATCCGTGGCCGCATCTTGAAGCTCTTGCTGCCCGACGGCAGAGTGCTCGGATGGATCAGACTGGGCAGATACTCGGCATTGGGGGCATTGGGATTCAGCGGCAGGGGCGGCAGATGCGGCAGGGCAAAGTGCTCGCCCCGGTCTCTGCTTAGCTGGAATGACGAATTCGCGCTGGGATTGGAAGTCATGTTCAGGTTAAGGTTCAGGTTGAGGTTGATGTTCATGTGCGGCCATTCGCCGTGCGTGTTTGGCGACGAGGTGGGCGTGGGCGGCATCGCCGGCGGCGGCGGCGTTATCATAATGCCCTTTGACGCGCTGGTTGTGGGCATGGGCATTGGCGTCGATCTGGCCAAGACCATGGCCATCGACATGGGCGACGGCGGCATTGACATCTCCACCTCCTCCTTGGCCGTTTCCACGCCGGAGTTGGTGGAATCGTTGTTGGTGGCCGCGGCCATATCTCACTCTTACTCAAATCACACAATGCAATGCGTCCGTGGTTCTGGTCGTCCGTTGTTCGGTGTCCTGCGGCGAAAAAACCGTTCCCAGGCACGCGCTGATTATTTTCCTGTCTGTATTGTTTGTTTATTTTTGCTTATTTTGCTGCCTACTTTGGTCACTCTGACCACCAGTTATTGGTGTGACCCTGTTGGCTGTAATGTTATTTATCTTTATCTGCAAATGTTCAATTACACGTTTTACTTAAAAGTATATCATTTTAAGTCATTTTGGATTACCTGGTTTCGGAATTTTGATAAGTTGGGCCAAGAGCAAAAAATTTTGGCCCCCGTCGTCTGTATTGTTTGTATTTGTTTTGGCTCTATCGATATAACCAATGTGCTAGGTATCGATTACTGTATGTTATGGTTCTTGCGGGGATTATCGAATATTACACTAAAAAAAAATGTTTATACAAAATTATAAAATTTAAACTTTTACCACTATTATAAAATTCATCGATTTCTAAAGATACTATGATAAACCCAATTAAACGAATGAGCCCTCTAATTTTTGCAAGCACCTAACCCAAGCCACTACCAGAATGAATTATAAACAGGTTTACACACTTAAAAAGTTTTATTCAAAACTCGTGCTCGACCACATACAATAATTTTCTAACAAAGCGGCACGGAATGTTAATATTATTATACAGCATATGACTCAGCTCGCGGTCACTTAAGGGTTTTCATAAAATACATAGTCTTCAATAATACACAGTTAAAATGAATTTTGAAAATAATGGGAGATAACATTCCTTCTTAAATCCAATAACACAATATACAAAGCGTAATTCGTTTGGTATTTCTGGAGATAAAGCCTCGGAAGTGGGAAAAACAACGAACGCAGAGGAATTTGCTATTTTCCAGTTGTTTAGGGTTAAAAACATAGATTCATTTTTTTCAGATCAGGTGGTGGGTTCAGTGTTATTGGGGAATTCCCAGTGAGTGGGCTGATTTAGACCGCAGAAAAGGTGCTTAAAAAAAAAACTATTAAAGTGAAACGAATACACAGTACACAGACAAGAGTCGAAAGGATCTCTCTAAACGGAGATCACTACAGCAAATGCGGTCTAAATCCGTCTTGCATGCTATTTTAGGAAGTTTATCGTTTCGATTATCTTGTTTCGATTTGCGTGCATGTAGGCTTTGGTGTGCCACAGCATGTTAATAAGCTTTTGATCGTCCTTCTCGTCCATAGCTATGTCCTCACTCAGCTGGGGATTAAACCTGAAGTAGGGTATACCAATGGTGCTGCACCAGGCGCGAGCTCGGTCCACCACTCTTCCATCAGAGCAGGTGGCCTGATCCACTAGCAGGTTGCCTGTTAGTAGATACACGTTATATTAAACAATATAATAAATTGGAAATTAGAAACCTTACCAATGGTTGAGATGCCGTAGGCCAGTTTGGCCGTATCCCAGATGCTTTCCGGTCGGAAGACATCGATGTCCTTCAGCTCGGTTACTGGTATGTGTCCAGTTCCCAGGGACATCACCACGGAAACCGGTATGGCCTCTGCCTCGCGACCAGCACTGCGCAGAGCCATATTATACTCATGGATCTCGGTCATGGCATCCAGCGTTGGGTTGTTGGCTATCAAGCCGCCATCGAGGAAGCGACCAAAAGCACGGAAATAAGAGGGAGCCGCACCTGTGGCGCGTGCAGCACGCCAAACCAATTGTTCGCTAGGCGGTGGAGGAGGAATTCGCCGGTTGTCTTTAAGCAAAATAATATATTAAATCTTTTTCAATGTATAGGGTTTACTTTACTCACTTATCGAAGTCACTATGCCCAGAATATCGCTGGCGCTCGTGTAGTTGCGGAATAGATGCAGATCGACGGGTTTGCGGTCCGCCATGACTCCGGTAACCATAATCTTTGGGTGCTTGATATCCGTCATCACGTTGAACTCTCCGAGTTGGTCCTTCAGAATTGACTCGAAGAAGTCACTGTTGTAAGGCCGCGAGCCCACAAAGCACTGTTCCTTCATGCGCAAGTAAAGGCCCATGCATTGGCGCATCGTCTTGCCGCATCCCAAGGCCAATGCCAGGATTCCTCCAGTGCTGGTGCCAGCAATCCAGTCGAACATGTGGATAATCGGTGTGCGCGACAGCTTCTCGATTTCAAGCAACATTTGTACTAAGACCAGGCCGCGAATGCCTCCACCATCAAGGCAGAGCAGTCGTCCACGTCCGTATGGTTTATCGCCTATTTCGGCGGAAATGGGCGATGGCAGATCCTCCGGAGTGGCAGCAGCTGAAGCCGGCGTTCCCGAACCACTGGCCAAACTACCCGAAGAAGTGTCCTTCTTCATCTCGTCCGCATTTACTTTGGTAGTGAACATGCCCAGCAGGGCATCCATTATGCTTTGGCCCTTCATTTCTTTTTCTGTGTCGACTACAACTGGTTTCCTACAATGATGATGAAAAAATTTAATTATAATGCGTAACTTGATATCTTAATTTAGTCTTACTGTGCCGGTGGTGGCTTCTCCAGAATTCCATTGGCCGCTGCGCCCAGAAAACCGCCCATTACTTGCCGACTGGTGCTGGCCAGCATATTTTCTATGTGCTCGCGCTGCTCGACGGATTCTGGTGCCTCGGGCGGTATGCCATTGTAGTTGCCCTTGGGATTGCATCCTGGCGGGCACTTTGAGCCCGTTTCTTTGCAACGTTTGGCTCCCACAGAGTGAAGGATATAGAGGATTTCGTCCTCCTTGTTGCCACTAGCATCATTGCCCACCATGTGTCGCGGACTCTTGCCATCCTTGTTCTGTAGATTGATGTCACAGCCAAAGACCACCAGACACTGGACAATCGGCACCAGCTTCTTTTCGATGGCGATGTGCAGCGCTGCGTTTCCCTCCTTGTCCAGTACATCGATCTCCGCATCGTGGGCCAACAGAGTAACTACGCACTCAAACCGATTCCTGGCCACCATCACGTGCAGAGCGGTGCGTCCCTCAAAGTTTGTGGCGTTGACATCACAACCCTCCATTATGAGGGCGTGTAGGGTTTCACGGGAGGAACACCAGTGCAGAGGAGTGCCGCCATATTTCATATCTTGTGTGTACAGCTTGCTGACATTGGTGCGCAGAAACGAGGCCACCGAAGTGGGAGCGGATGTCTTGTACAGCTTGCTAATGTTCTTGGCATTGAGATTGACATCGGCGCCAGCCAAAAGCAGCGCCTTGACATTCTCCGGCTTGTCAGCGAGACAGGCGATATGAAGGGGTGTGTAACCATCCGAGTTGAGGTGATTTAGGTTAACTGTGCTCTTCTCCATGATAAGCTAAGATTTCAAAAGGTTAAAATGCGTTTAAATTGCATATAGATTCTATACTTACATTGATTATCTCTTTGGTGGTGCTAGCAGCATAGTGAAACACCGAATTGCTGTTGATATCCAAGTGCTCCAACTTGCTCAACGGCAGCAAAACCTTCACCATCTCTATGTGGCCCTGTTTGATGGCCAGCTGGAAAGGCGACATCAAGGTGGTGGGATCTGCGTAGTCCACGCACTGCAGCATCTTCGGGTTGCTAATGTAATCCACCAGGTTGAAGTAGGCAATCAGATGGGACAGCGTCCAGGAGGGATTCTCCGCCAGGGCATCGCAGGTCTTTTGCAAGCCATTAACATTGTAATACTAAAACAAAATAAGTTTAGGAAACTGAAATATTTCGTTTGTAATCTTGTCTAGAACCTCTTTAACGATGCTGACGAACACGGGCAGCCTTTGCAGGTAGGCATTAAAGCGTTCCTCGGCTTCCTGCTGCACCGGCGAGCGGTACAAACTGAAGGATGTGGTATTGGAATCCGAGGTGGGTCGCTGTAGGACAATTTCATACACGGCCCTCTTGTCGTTGGCATTGAAGGGCGGTGCAAACAGAACCATGGCGTCATCGCGGGCTATGACCTGAAGGGTTCCCAGTGATTCACTCTTGATTTCCAACACCTTATTGGCCGGCTGATCGCCCCCAGCAGGCGCTGAAGAACTGTGGGCACATAAAAAAAACGTACATAGTTATTAGATAAGAGTCCGCAGAGGGCTATTTACGAGACGAACACATTCGCAACTAAACTACTGAACACTCAAGACGTCAACAAATGACACGAAAAGGTAATGAATTTGAGGGGGAATACCAAAGCCGGAGGCAAGGGCTCCAAAGGCCATCCACGACATGACTCAAGTGTGTGATGCGGACCGCTGCGGATGCTGTTTGAACTTTGCACTTGGCGGATCGGATGAGCTGGCTAATCTTGATGCGGTGAACCTGACAGAGAAATAACGGCCAGTTTGTTAGTACAATGGGTGTGTGGGTGAGTTTGTGGATGGATGGGCTGCCAAGAAATCAATAGCACACATCTGCGGCCAATGGCAAGCGAACAGATCACCCGATTGCGCGCCATTGTTGTAATGTTTCCGCATTTCTGTGCTTTCCCTTTTTCTCTCATTTGAGCCTAATCAATAGGATGACTTTCATAAAAATATGATTGTTCTGTGGGTCAGTTACGAATATTTGGCTTGATAAAGGGATGCGTAATTTTATGAAACACCAGTGCCAACACATATTTTGCGGTGATTTGAATATACACTTTTATTAGCTGACCATTGAACATTTTACTGCTCTGTTATTAGTTTTCCTTATCGCACTTTTCCAGTTCTATTCACTTTTAAAATTGTCGCAACAGAAAATAACATCCGAGCAGTTTTTTGCAGCTTTTTAGTGATGACAGCTTAAGCCAGTCATGGTTCTTGGGTTTTTGCGAAGTGCGATAGTTCGTGACTGCTTAGCAGAGTTCACAACCTGAGTTTGACCAATATCATAAAAAATACCTCGGTAAATGTTTACAAGTGCGGTGCACAGTAATTTTAATTTTAAAGGGAAACATAAGAGATTATGCCATATCTGTTAGATTCTGTTAAGTGACATATCAAAATAAATTCGATTGCCTTTTTGAAATAACTAGACCAATCGATTCTTGCGAATTTCTGGAAACATCGATAGAGTATCAATTTATCGACGTTAGGCCCAGCCCTAGCGAAATATTAGAATTGTTAGAATATTTACCGGATTCCATTTGTTTGCAGTAAGAAGTAGGAAGTAAATTAATAAAAGTGGCTGTATTCCGCCAAGAGCTAAATTCCACGTGACCAAATTGAGATACACCCCGCCCGGCTGGCGCCTTCGATGTGATTGCAAGAACCAAGCCCAGGAACCAGCTGGCTGTGTAACTCCGAAGATTGAGACGTAAATTGCACTCGCAAATTGCAGTTGCACTTGCAGTTAACAGTCAAAGCACACAAGTAAGTGGGTTTCCAGCATGGAAGTGGAGGTAGCAATGAAGGCGGAGGCCGCCGGAGCATTGGATGGCCAACTGGGCGTTGCAGGGGGACTGGTGGCCTTTATGGCCGCCCAGTGGGTGGCGAAGTCGACCCTGCCAAGGGCACGAGGTAACGCAAGTCTCACCGCGACCTGTGCCATTATAATCTGGCGAACGTCGCGATTTCAGTGCCTGTTCGGCTACTGCCGCCGTGATTCACGATTGTCCAGCAGCAGCAACGACAACAAAATCAACAATGACTCCCAAAAAGCACCTGACGTAATTATGCGCGTGCACTGACCGCAAACTAAACCAAATTCCGCTCTTTCTGTTTCTTTGCAGGTAACGCAACAGATCCGCAAGATGCAAAACAACCCGAGTCCACAGCTGCCCTGCAAGGGCATTCTTAAAACCTCGCGTAGTTTCGACAAGTCGGGAGCCAGGTAATATTATTTGTATTTACTACCTTTTATATATATTTATTAAAGTTAAATATTCTTTCTTGATCATAAAGTTTTCGTAAAAGTGCCAAGTTCGATGAGCTGAACGTAATGCAGACCTTCCATCCGGCCGACAAGGACTACGGACATATGAAAATCGATGAGCCCAAAACACCTTACAACTACACGGAGGCCTACGAGGACAACAGGGACGAACTGGACACGGAGCTGCTGGTGGAGAAGTAGGGGGACTATTATTGTTTACTTACAACAAGACTGCCTAGAGTTAGACCAGTGAAATGACCCCACAAGCAGACAAGCAATACAATACTCAGAAAATACGTCGTAAAATCTGTGTTGACATGCATCGTATTTGAGAACGTAATTGTTTATTGTCTTATCATTGACAGATTAAACAATCGCTATGACATCTTTACAAAATTAGAGGACAATAATAAGGCGACTTGTAGTAACTTGACAAACAAAATGACATTATATTACAGAAGCCAGTTAAAGGGTAAAATAAAAATTCGTTATCCTTTTCAGACTCCGCATAGCGGCCAACACACAACAGTCGACGGAAAGCATTGAGGACGAGGGCTCCTCCGGCGACGACCAGCCACTGAGCGAAGAGGAGCGACGTAAGTGTCCAAGAACCACTCAGATTCCGCAAGACACTTCTCATGTACACTTGGTTTTGCAGAACGACGGCGCGAATTTGAGCGACGTCGCAAGGCCCACTATCGCGAGTTCGAGGCCGTCAAGCTGGCACGGAAGCTGATCCAGGAGGAGGACGACGACGACGAGGACGAGGACAAGGGCGCGGATAGCCGGCCATCCGGCTCCGCACAGGGCGCTTCCACCTCCGGCCGCTTTGCGAGCAGTTCGGCGAAAAAGTCGAACGCCGACTCGGCCACTTCCTCGTCTACCAGCGCCGGTCACAACATGGATCTGGAGCCATCGAACAACTAGAAGCAATATATATCAACCCATCAATCAATCACTAATGTTTACCTAGCGGACAATGGACGGTTCCGAGGGCAGCTCATCCAAACAATGACCTAACGAAATTATATATCAAGTGCTGTGCGAGCGCGGAGTGAGAAGTGGATGCTGATTAGTGGAGGAGTGGCGAGTGGAGCACTCGTGATTAATTGAGTTTACCCAACTAAACACGAATATCAAACCGTCACCAAGGAGGTTTGTCATCGAGTGATGCACACAGTCGATTAGGCCGATGGCATTACTCGCTGCAAATTGTTTTACCAACACCATTTGTGCACCTGATCGAAGAATCTGATTGTACGACAGCAAATATAATTACCCGTATGCGTCTCAGCCGTAGCGTACTGTTGCAAATGTAGTTAACAAAACGTCTTTTAAATTGATATGGATATCCATTGTGTGTACCCATTGAATTTTAGTCCAAGTCTCCCGAATTCGCAGCTCCGTTTGCATTTAATTTGATTGGATGCCCAGTGCCACAGAATGGGATTACTTGTTGTAAACTAGCGTTGAAGTTAATTTGGCCTTACTTTTAGTTATTTATTAATACGATACTATTATGATTACTATTAAGTTTTAGCCATCGAATGCGAACGTTTCAATAAAGAGAGCCCAAAATCCAAAACCCAAAACAAGTAACCAAAAAACCACTGAGGATTAGTTCTTCTCGTCGCGAGTATTCAAAACTTGCCGTTTATTTAGTTTCTCATTTCACATTAGTTATACATCATAGTACAGTTGGGTAATAGACATTGCTGGTCATAGTTGGTAATTGTTTGGTTAAGTCTGAGAGTTTTGTTTGTTTGCCCGTTCGTGTACTCAATCCCGGCCACATCCCCGCCCCATCCGCCAAGATCGAGGCACTGAGTCCGCGGCTGTTCGTCCGCAGGCAAAGGCATCCTCATATTATTGCCAGGGGTCAGCGGGCGGACTGAAATGCCGACCTTGAGCGGGTGGGAGGGGATTTTTTTGGGGGAGGGGAGCGGTCCAAACGAGCTCGATGATTTGTGTGGATATCCTTGAATGGCATTTTTACGAACTCACAGATTTGTTTCGGCGTTAAGCCTTTTTGTATAACTAACTTAGCGGGTGTAATTGATCGATTTTTTATAATTTGCAGTTTAACAATGTCAAAATAAGTATGTATATATGTGCATATAGTATAGATATAAGCAAAAAGCATGCAAACTCAAACAATAAACATCGAGTATCCTGTGCGGTTTGCTTTTCTTTCAGGAACGCATCGATATTAACAATTTGTATTCGGTGGATGGTTCCTTGAGCTGATCGCCGCACAGGATCTGCGTTAAATAGAATATGCGCACAATAAATAGTAATTAGTAGTGCTCTTACTAACTAAGACAAGGTTCAATCTCATTATCAGTTTCCGTCTTGGGTCGCATCGTATCCATTTCATTTGCTAGTTAACAGTGTTTTAACAATCATCTTAGAATCTAACGCTATATGGTTTAGTATATAGTTCTGCTCTGCTATTTTAGCCATACTATATGCACATGCTCCAAATATGTGTATATAGTATGGGTACATAGAGACATATCGTTTTCCATCGCCCAGCGTTTGGGCATCCGGATCAGGCTTCCAATGCCACGAGTCATCATCTATATATCTTTCTCAATATTCAAATGATTCGAGAGATGATCAGTTTCATCATCTCGGAAATACCGATGATGACTCACGGCGAGGAATCACCTGCTGTAGTATTGCATTCACCTATTCACGGGTTCGTTTCGTAACATATAACGTATATATGGCGTCGTTAGTGGTCATTTAAGATTAGTATAACAATTGTATATATCCTATATATAGTGTTTGGTTCGTTAGTGATTCGTTTTAGTAACAGATACATGATCGTTTTCAGTATTATTATGAAGTGGGTTCCATTGATTATTCTGCTGATGTTTGTTGCATTATATATTCTTGTTTTCCTCTCCCAACTTTCCGCTCAGCTTAGCCGAAAATGTGCTGGGTGCCGGGTGGCACTTTGTAGCTGGGGTAGCCATTGTTCAACTGGTGCTTGGCAAAGAAGGGTGTGTAGTCCTGCCAAGTAAATAATTAAGTTAATATCACATTGTTCTTGTTGCTGAAAGGGTTCTGTATATGTATCCTACCCTGTTGACTCTCCTGGGACGGCAGACGGGGCCCAACGCCAACTGGCGACGTTCCTCGTTCTCGCGGGCGGCGGCCTCCTTGTACTCCGGTGGTGGCCACTTCAAATCTCCGCGCAATTTGCTGCCTCCTAAAAATTAAAAAAAATAATGTTTCTTTTAGCAGATGATCTCAACATCATAACCAACTTTGGAATCCCTCAAAGAATATTAATCGAATTACAGAATATCTTTTCAAACAAATCAAGAAAACAAATTTCAACAATTAAAAATATTTTAAAAAAGTTTTAAAGACTCTTTTCTTTACTAAACTATTAATTAGTTTGGTCTTGTTTAAATGATTCCTATTCTAAAGAAATGATATTCTGTGTGAATATTTTTTACTTCTTTAACTTTAGATTTGGATGTAAAAGGTATATGAGCTTATTATAAAAATTTAATTTATTATTTGATTAAAATAAAAGAAAGTAAGGAAAAATAGTTTGCAATATACTAAACAGGAGAGAAACTTCTATAATTTTTTACATATTCAAAAATGTATTAGGATAATCAAGAATCCTTACCAAAAACTAATTTTTATTGTTATTCTCTGATTCTATATCCTCTATTTTATATCCTCCAATGCTATATTCTGACTCACCCTGATAGCTGACGGCGGCAGGCTGCGAAGTGTAGACTGGCGCAGGCTGCTGGCTGACTGGAGCCTCCTTGCGCAGGGTAATGATGCCAGGACTGGCGCCCCGGTAGCTGTTATCCTGGCCAGGAAATCCTCCAGGCTGCTGCGACTGCTGCAGATCGGTCTGATCCTGCGAGTAGGGCACCTGTGGCTGCGAATAAGAATTGTATTGGGGTTGAGCAAAGGTCGAGCCACCGTTTTGCTGTGGGTAATAGGATGATGGCTGCTGCTGCTGCTGCAGTTGTTGTTGCTGCTGCTGTTGGTACGGTGAACTCTGGTACGGTGGCTGTTGCTGCTGCTGCTGTGGCTGGTTCCACTGTGGTGCCGGCTGATAGGGAGCCTGAGCCTGCGATTGAGGCTGATATTGCTGCTGTGGCACCTGTTGCTGCGGCTGCTGTTGCTGTTGCTGCTGCCACGGTGCAGCAGGTTGCTGCGGCTGCTGCTGCTGGTAGCCATCGTAGGAAGGAGCACCGTACTGCTGCTGCTGCTGCTGTTACTCAATCGGTGGTTTTGTGGTGCAGTAGTTGAGTGGTTCGGTGGTGCCAGCATGCGTGTTTGTCATGGGTTTCGATCACAGGTTATGGTCGTGATTTGAATTCATTGATGGATATTGTTTGGTTGGTTGGGAGGTGCGTACAACACATTCACAGTGGATGTAGACAGACAGATAGAATATGTTGAAAATAGAGATAGACAAGAGACTTAGTTAGAGGTTTAGGGAGGCTTAGTTTCGTATTAAGTGTGGGGTAAGTTTTAGGCGCAGTTTACAGCTGAAAGTCGCAGAAAAAGAAGCAAAAGCAAATTAAGCTACAGGTTAAGTCAGTTTTTGCATATTAACAGCGGTTTGTTTGCGTTTCGGTTTACAAAAGCGAGTGAGTACACATTTACGGACGGTTTTTTGGGTATAGGAAGTTAACGGTGTCCCTCAACTACACAGAAAATAAAACTACTGCGGTTTATAGAGGTTACAAAAAAACTTCTTAAAATCGAAGTCTAGTGCATTAGCTTTTTGAATCAAGAAAGAAATTTATTTATTGTTCTACTGTTTTAAATGAGATCAACTTTTTTTGTTTTATTATTTACGTAAATGTATATTTACCAAATTAAAAATAAATCATATAATTTAAAATCTCCAAATTAGAGTAAAATAAAAATATATTCAATTTTTATCAAACAAGCTAAATTATAAATATGATAAGTCTAAGATAAAAATGTAGTGAAAAACGAAACAAAGTTAGTAAAACAAAATTTGGTAAGTGTAGTTTTGAATAAAAATATAGAATATATATTAGCATTCACGTAAGTTAGGATCTACAATAGAGTTCTGTTAGTTTAGTATGTTTTAAAGTAGAAAGTTTAGTAAGTGTCTAAGAAAGAAGGTGGAAGGGAATGCATCTAAAGTAGAAGTATATCAACGTTGGCAGGAGACAGAGACGATCGCAGCCGCAGTGCAAAATCAAAGATATATCTTTGGCAATAAAGGTGGCATCGCTGGATACCAACTGTAGATTCCAGCCAAGACGGTACCTGCGGCTGCTGATAGTACGGCTGCTGCTGCTGCTGCTGGGATCCCGGGAAGGGTGGTTGGGAGCCACCTCGTCCTCCGGCTGTGTAGTCACTCCTCGTCTTGGGCAGCGGGGCACCGATGTGCTTCCAGCCACCGCCCACATTGTTCCCCGCCTGCAGGGGCTCCTGCGGATAGTTCGACTGGTATTGGTTGCCCGGATAGTTAGCCTGCTGGTTAGCCTGCTGTTGGTTAGCCGGATAGCTCGACTGGTTAGCCGGATAGCTCGACTGGTTAGCCGGGTAGCTCGACTGGTTAGCCGGATAGTTCGACTGGTTAGCCGGATAGCTCGACTGGTAGTTGGACTGATTACTGCCGGGTGGCGGGTAATCATAGCCAGGTTGGGTAGCTTGAGTTGGAGCCGGGACCTGGACGGGTTCCCTCGAGCGCTGCCTATTGAACTGGGCCTGTGTGTATTGCACAGGTTGTGCGGGATAACTATCTGGTTGGAACTGGGTGGTGGGTTCAGTGGGTGGTGCTGTTGCTGGTGGTTGGGTGGTGCTGCGCGGCTGGACGTTGTTATAAATGGGACCCTGCAAGTTGTCAGTGTGGTTAGGTTTTTGGGGAGGGGGGACAGGAATGTGTGTATGCTATGTACATGGCTTTGTGCCTCTCACCGGACGAGATACAAATTGTGGCAGTTGCGGATACAATTATATTTACATTGGTACACTCGACTATATAGTATAGTATATGTATGTGGTATGTACAATTCATCGGTTAAATCGGAGCGAGAATTACCTGTGGTGGTGGGGCAGCAGAGTGGGCGGCTGCGGGAGCGGGGGCGTGGCTCTGCGGATAGTATCCTCCGGAACCGGGAGCCGGACTCTGGGTCTGCGGCTGGGGGGTGAACTCCCGGATGATCCGCTCCTCGGAGGCCGGTGGCCAGGCCACGCGCTTGTACCCTGAATCAATGAGAAGCGAATTGCATTGGCTGGGTAAATAAAATAGTTGAAATACTTAATTTTTTAGCAGCTGCTAGTGCAGCTGCTGTGCATTTGAGAAAACATTCAACATTCAACAAAATGCGGCCAAAACGTGGGCGTCACAACAACCTTGGATGCCGACGAAATTCACTGCTGAATTCGTTAGCCACCGCTGGCGAAACAATTTGAAAATGATTTAAGCCAATTAAAATTATAGCCATCGCAATGGCAATGTGCGAACAAAGAGGGGGAGGGGCGGGAAAAGGAGGAGGGGGAGGGGTTTGAAAGGGGGAGGGGGGTTTGCAAATCATACACGGCTGTCATTGCATCTAAATTTAGCCGATGAGAACGAAACGAAAGCTAAGAATTTGACATTACTCATTGGGTGATGGCGACGATGTTGTCGCCGTACGTGCAACATGTTGCCGCTGCACCAGCAACATTCTGCGATATCAGCAATGGCAAAAAGTATATAGTAAATAGAATAAATCGTGTTTACCCTCCAGATTTTTGTAGTTCTCGTTGATGATCTTCCACTGAGCAACCATGGTTATATATTTACTCTCTCTCTCTGTTTTTTGGTATTTCTATATATTTATCTGACCGATCGGGGGTCTTTGCGTAAGAATAAAAATATTCTTGTATAGATATCAAAAATAACAGATACACGTATAAAGCAAAACGTATACGTTTGTTTTACTTTTTTTTGCGGCTATTTTTTGACTTGTCCGCTCGCAGAAAGTCGAGAAGATCGTCGTTATATAATCCTGCGTTGCAATCAATCGATTTCTGGGATTTGGAGAGTCTGCTGATGGGAACACCACAATTTTAGATTTCTCTGATTTATGGCTCGCTTATTTTTTTTAGGCTTCAATTGCAGATCGGCGCTCGTTTCGTTTATCCTTCGGATCGATGTCGTTGAAAAATCAGAAAATAATGATTCGGGAAGCACGGCGATTTGAATTTTTTTTCTTCTATCTGTTCGATTCGATTTAGTTTAATTTAATTGGTTTTAATTCGATTCGATTCGCGTGCGTGTTTGCCCAATTTAAATTCTATTTTCTATTATAGCTATTGGCTATTTCTATTTGCTAATTCGTTGATCGTTCGCGCTGCGATATGTTTTTGCCTTCGATGTATGCTACTAAGTGAGGAGCCAGAGAAATGCAGAGGAAATTATTGTTAGCCAGCGTGGCCAAGATGTGGGAACATTGGCACTCGTTTCGAATCCAACCCACACATTCGCCGCTCGACTTTCGTATCTGCGAGATGCGCGAAAGTAAAGAGTTTTCTTTTCAGAGAGAGAGAAAATAAGATATATATATATATGTATATTATTTGATCTGCTAAGTGTGCTGATCTTGATCGAGGGTACTACACATTATCCCCTTTCCCCGTGCTGGCAAATAGCGAAACTCCTGGCATTGTTTACACCTTCGATTTTTGTGATTTGTGGGCCCCACCTTGAAATACTTATCATGCCGACTCCCTCACTCGCGGCAGCAGATCTCAAGGTGTCTGCCGCATCTATATATATATATGCAGCTATATCGAAAAGATACAGTCACATACCACATATATAGTATATATTATCGCATACTTGCGGTTCTTTGCCCAGATTCTCGAGTAGTTTTACTGGCTGGCTGGCTGGCTGGTGTTTATTGTTATGGCGATTTGTTATGCCAGAGCGGCAAATCAAGTGGCCGCACAGCCATCTATCTATCTGGCGGATATAGTCTTTATCCCGGCCAACTAACTAACTATTTATCATCGATCTTGCGCGCAGATATAGTCCGTGAGTCAGTCAGGCAGGCGGTGGCTAAATTTAAACGGCTGTCATCTTGGGCGAACTAAAACAAATCTGTTTTTAAACGGATTCACACAGGTGTACGACGAAAAGTTGGCTCATTAAAATTATTAGCAAACTTGTAACTCATATGTCCGATATATACCCATCGTACACCCATTTGAACGTAGACAATTATTTGATATAATACAAACTGTTTGCTCGTTAGCCACGCAACAAATTCGTTTTGATGGCCCCCAAACGTCACAGATAAATACAAAATACAAAACCTTTGGCTTTGCCATACATTCATTATCTATTTGGCCCACAAACAGCCGTTCAATTTCTGCAAGCTCAAGACAATTAATTTTTTTTTTGATTTTAGGAACAAATAAATTGGGTTGTTTTTGTGAAAACAAATAATTTCTGGGCGATTTCATTTGAGCACTTTTATGAAAAATTATTTAACAAACAAATAATTTCTGGGTAATTTTGCCTGTGCACTTTTATAAAATTAATAAGCGAGAAAAATTAGAAGAATTTGGTATGAGAATTGAAATGAAAACTTATGAGTGTCCAAGTTGAAGAGGAAAACACTTTTTCAATGTCTTTCTTTGAATCTATATAATGAAATAATATTGGTGAGGCAAAAGTCTGCTAATTTAAATTTTATGCAAATATTAAATATTTCTACAATAAATAGTTTTTCAGAAATTAACTTGTGCACTTTTAGTGCAAAAGAATTTAGCTTGAGAGATGGAATAAAAACTTGTGAATGTCCAAGTTGAAAAGGAAAACACTTTATCAATGTCTTTCCTTTGAATCTATATAACGAAATTATTTTGGTGAGACACAAGTCTGCAAATTTAAATTTTATGTAAATATTAAATATTTATACAATAAATAGTTTCTTAGAAATAAACTTGTGCATTTTTAGTGCTAAAGAATTTAGCATGGGAGATGGAATAAAAACTTATGAGTGTCCAAGTTGAAGAGGAAAACACTTTTTCAATGTCTTTCTTTGAATCTATATAATGAAATAATATTGGTGAGGCAAAAGTCTGCTAATTTAAATTTTATGCAAATATTAAATATTTCTACAATAAATAGTTTTTCAGAAATTAACTTGTGCACTTTTAGTGCAAAAGAATTTAGCTTGAGAGATGGAATAAAAACTTGTGAATGTCCAAGTTGAAAAGGAAAACACTTTATCAATGTCTTTCCTTTGAATCTATATAACGAAATTATTTTGGTGAGACACAAGTCTGCAAATTTAAATTTTATGTAAATATTAAATATTTATACAATAAATAGTTTCTTAGAAATAAACTTGTGCATTTTTAGTGCTAAAGAATTTAGCATGGGAGATGGAATAAAAACTTATGAGTGTCCAAGTTGAAGAGGAAAACACTTTTTCAATGTCTTTCTTTGAATCTATATAATGAAATAATATTGGTGAGGCAAAAGTCTGCTAATTTAAATTTTATGCAAATATTAAATATTTCTACAATAAAAAGTTTTTCAGAAATTAACTTGTGCACTTTTTGTGCAAGAGAATTTTGCATGAAAAATGGATTAAAAACTTGTGAGTGTCCAAGTTGAAGAGGAAAACATTTTTTCAATGTCTTTCCTTAGAATCTATATATGTTAATGAAATAATTTCGGTGAGAAACAAGTCTGCAAATCAGTGAGCTATATTATTCTAAAACAGAAGCATGTGATCAGCGTTGAAAACCAAGAAGATTAATGATATTTAAAGGAAATATTTAAATTGTATGCTAATATCATCAAAGTAAATAGTAAATAGTGGTTCAAAAATCATATGTATTTTTTGGATACTAAGAAAACAAAGTGAGTTTGGTATATAAAGATATTTTTTTCAATAACAAACATAAGATGTTTGGAGATCTTTAGTTTTACTTTGTATAATTACTTTTGTAATTCTTAGAGCTTAGAAGCTTAAGACCCTGCAATCTGATTCATTTGGCTTGCCAGTTTTAAGTATATTTTTTATGAATATGTATCTATGGCAAAAGAAAAATCCCCAAAGTGCTAATGATTCAAAATCCACTGAGTCACAAAGAGAACATTTGGATAAACACACGTGGAGGAAGACTCTTGAGGAGGAACACCTTGAAAGACGGACAGATATAGGAACACAGAAATCGGTGGGATTATCACGAACCTTCAATGCCAAGATATGGACGTGGTGACACATTATCGAAGGATCGGTTAACGCTGAAATCTCGCTGCACCTCGTCGAAGGAAGCCAGGGATCTAAACTTATTCAATTCTCCGGATTCAAGATTACTGGGAAAATCGAAGGGCGAGGGCTGTGCCGCAGAACGGGGCGTGGCTGGGGGCGTGGCAGCCAGCATTGAGGAGGATGCCGACATGCTTTGCTGCAGTGGCTCCGTGGCTGTCTTCACCAGGAGTCCAATGTTGTGGCCCTCCAACTGCGGCACATGGGTGAATTTCGCAGGAAGATTTACTGGCGATGATGTGGATTTCTTCTGGACAGGATTGAGACCATAAGGGGAACTGGAACGCTGAGGAGCCTCGATGAGTGGAGCGGGATACTTGCGAGAGGGCAGCGGACTGGGCGAGCGACTCCTTTCCCAGGTGACTTCCGTTTCCGGTTCCTGGAGGTTCTTCAAACCAGAAGAAGAAGAAGGAGGAAAAGGAGGAGGAGGAGGCGGTGGCGATGGTGGTGGAGAATCTGTAGCTGGCGTGGTCACAATCTCCACGAAACTCCGCTGTCTTTGGAGTTTCTCAGTGGGAGTGTTCTCCTTAATGGACTGCGTATCCTCCCAGGAGATCTGCCTCGAAATATAAGGACTTCTCACCTCATAGGTGGCTTTATAATTTCTAATGGGCTCATTTTGAAGATTGGCAATACGCCATTGATCGGCTTTATTTAGTTTACCCCAATTGTTGGGGGAACATCGCATTTCATCACAAACTGGACAATAAGTTAAGGAGGAGTCTTCATGGGAGCAGGAGGTATCCTTTTCCAGGTTTTCCTTTTCCTCAAGATCTTTTCTAATTGAATTTTCTTCTAAAATCTTTTTACTTTCCTGTGAAAATTCTTTTATAACTGGTTCATCTTTCTTTTTGGTTAGTAATTCCTTACTTTTATCCTGTTTTGTATCCTTTATAATCAATTTAGGTAGAACATCCTTTTTTTCTTCCCCTTGTAAATCCTTTTTACTCTCTTTTAATCCCTTTTTGGCCAACTGCTCTTCGATGGCTTTTCGCAATTCGGTTTTAGGTTCCGCTTCCTTCTTAACCACCTGCTCCTCTTGCCACTCCTCGAACTCCTTCTTGGCCAACTGCTCATAGTTGGCAATTACATCCGATACGTGTCTGTACTCCACATCCTCCTCCGCATCCTCATCCCCATCCTCATCCTTGATGACTACGTGTTCCGCCTCAATGACAGCTGGCGTTGTCCGGACTTCTACGTGTTCCGTTTTTTCCGTTTCCGGTTTTCGATTTTCCAATGCGACTGCAATCTTGTGCAGATCCTCGAGAGCTCGCTCCACAATAGGCACGTTCTCGGTGAGGGAAACCTCCTCCTCCTCCACCTCTCCTTTGGCAGTGGTTACATCCTCCTTAATCTCCTTGGAGAGTCTGGTGGGCAAACCAGCTGCTCGGGTGTAAATCTGGCGGAGAATCGCTTGGAGTGGACTCTCCACCGCCAAAATGGGTGACTGTCGGTGGGTGAAGATGTCCCAGGATTCGTTGGAACCCGTGCTGATGGGTCTCGCTGGTAATCCACTTGATGGAGGAGGCGGAGGAGGAGGTGGTGGTGGTGGAGTGGGAACTGGAGTGGTTTGGGCACTCCTCTGCAGCGCCTGCTTGGCATTCTCCATGTAGGCATCGATTTGCAGGAGATGCTCAGCTATGGATTGCTGGATGTGAGCATACTTCGCCTCCAGCTGGGCAATCTCCACATGCGCCTCGTGCTGCTTCTCCGTTGAAGTTTCCAGGTGATAGATGCCACCCTGCCTTCTACTCTGCTTATCCTTCAGCTGCGAATCCTGGCCAGACTTGGTGCGCATAACTGGCGGCTGAGGAGGAGGCGGAGGTGGAATTGGAGTAGTTGGTGTTTGTGGAACTGGAGGGGTTGGTGTGCTGGAGCTTCCCTGTCGCTGGAGTAGCTTTATCCCACCCTTGGCACTCACAAAGGTGGGACTCTCCACTTGGATGTGCTCCTCCTCCATGTCCTGCTCCTGATCCTGCAGATACGAACAGGCGTCGTCGTAGATCTGCTGGGCACTCAACCTGACCAACGGATCACCCTTTGGGCTTTCCACGCGAACGGGCACAATGCGAGTGTTGGCCGAGTCCCTCGGACTGTTGGACTGGCCGATTCCCACGTTTTTGGCCAAATTCAGAGCCATCTGCTGCTGCTGCTTAACTGCCAGGTTGTCAATTACCTGGTGGTTACCCATTCGCTGTGCTGTCTTCGCTTGATTGAGATGCACGGCAGCTGGTGTTGGTGTCGGTGGCAGCGGCAAGGCCTCCAAGTCCACGTAATCTTGGCCAGAAGCGGGCTCCTCCTCGTTGTCGCCATCGTGTCCGTAGGAGATCTTCACCTCCGTTGCAAGTTTAATGCATCTGCGTTGCACTTTTGGCTTGCAAGTTCGTGGTTTCGGTGGCGGCAATTCCGGATCACCTACGATCCTCTTTCGAGATCTTCCACGATCCAAGGAGTAAGCTTGTCTCTTATTTCTTGGCCTGTAGGTATTAACTGGAGTGGGCAAAGTGGGCGTGGCTGGGCGTTTCTGTGCCAACTGCTCGTAGTATTCACATCTGGGTGCCACCAAACCCAAATCCACATCAGCTGCTTTGGTTTCGGGAGCGGAGAATCCCTTGGCAACTGGAGTTTGATGGTAAACCTCGGCGAGATCTCGTTCTTTGGAAACTCTCTGGGGAGTTCGGGATCTCTCCTTGGAGTTTCCCTTCCTTTGTCGCATTTCCCTCACTTGCTTTGCCGTGGGTTCCACAATCATCGTGGGACTCTGGAACTTCTCCCTCAGAGCTTCAATACTGTGCGAGGGATACGAGGAGATCTGGTGATTCTGATCGGGATTGGCAGTCACATCTTGTTCTAGTGGTGGCCAACTGTGATCTCTTTTGAGCAGATGCCTTTTGGTTGCCAGGCGATTTATCTTGAGAACCGTATCCCTATCGATGGTTATATCCTGCTGATGGCTGAGATAATCCGTTTTGATCTGATCCAGTAGCTGCTGGTGGAGAGTGTGATGCAGTGCATCCCCCTCGCCACGTTGACGACGACGACTCTGTCTTTCAGTGGGGTAAAAATCTTTGAGGGTAAATACCCCATAATTTCATATTATTTATCTGCAAAATTACAACGAAATTGGACGAGTACTAGAACTAAAAGTGGCTTTGTTTTGTTGAATGTTTTCACACTGTTTATTTATGTTTTCTACAAACACATAATAAACACGCACGGGGAAAAAACATAGCAAATAATTATAACTTACCACATTTGGCTTGTTGTTCTTCTTCTTCGACGGCGCGCAGAACGGCCGAGTTGGCCAAGTTCAAGGGCTTCGTGATTTGGTCGTCGATTTCAATCCTAAAAACAGCCCAAAAAGATTGAGTAATTAGTATGAATCTTTTTATAATTAAAACACTCTAGAAAGCATTTTGAATTTCGCGGCAAGTACTGCTTGTTTAATTACCAATCTTATGCACTGCTTATACTGCTTAGTTTCACTATACAATTCAAAGCAGTTGGCGCCCATTTTGAATTTTAATTTTTAATAAACAAATATATAGGTACTTTTTTAAATTTACTTTTGGTTTTATAATTGATATCTAAATATTGACTTTATGGTGTTTTCTCTTATATTTTATTTATATTAAATTCTTTCTTAGATACAAATCAATCTTATTGTTTTTTGATGATTGATTTCAATTTTTTCTAGTTTGAATTTCGCCTCTATTTGTTGAAGTCGAGGTTTGAGAATATAAAAAATGTATGGAATTTTTCGGTACGGTTCCCAGAGAAAAACGAATCTATAGCCTAAGCATATAAATATTTTTACCAAAGGGGAAGTTCAATATTTGATATAAATTACATGAAAATGGAGAATTATTGATTTTGCATTAATGTTTCTCTAGAGTCTGATTCGACTTAAATCATGATTAACGATTAAAAGATATAAGTTATTAAAAATTACCAAGGATATGTATCCTAAAACAGGGTTATTTTTAGCCACCACTACCCTTGATAAATTCTATTAAACGCAGTGGAAAAAACTAATCCAAACTGACAAGTGGAAGTCGAGCTGGCGGATATAAAAATGCCCGGCATTGGCGGAAAGTGCATCACATCCATTCTAGCAACATTTCCAGCAAGACCAAGATGTTCCGCACCGCAATCCCAGTGCTCCTGATCCTGCTCCCAGTGGTCCTGCATTCCGCGGAGTCAGTGAACATGGTTCGAGCCTGTGGACCGCATCTCACCCAATTAATAGAAGCGCTTTGCCCCAATGGAGTCATCGGAATGTTCGAAAAGCGGGATCCGTCCCGTGAGTATTTGCGGCTTTTTGGCATTTGAAACGAAACGGACTTAACATTTTTTGACTGCCCTTTTCAGTGGGTCTACTCGATTATGGGGACAAGCTGATGGCGATGGATAATAACGATGTGGACGACGAACCCCAAAATTCCCGAATTAACTCAATAGTTGGAATGCGTCGCGCTTACCGGGGAATTGTCGACGAATGTTGCTATAATGCCTGCACCTATACGGAAATATTGAAGTTGTGCAAGAAATAAATACTACCCGCTGTTATGATACCTGTGCCATCAAAGTACACCCGAGAGATACCTAACGATTTGTTTAAAATAATTATAAATGCAAGCCTTGGAAAAGCACAAATAAAATATTTATATGCGCAAGTTTAACCACTGATTAGAGTTTTTCTAAAAGGAACTTGAGAAGAATGATATTTGTTTCTATTATTTATTTATGTTAACAGTTCTTGTTTCAGAAACATAAGTAAAATAATTGAATTTAATTTTGTAATATTATATTATTTATATAATATTATTTGCATTTATTTCCATGACTACGTTTACTTAAATAAGTTAACCCATTTAAATTTCAAGGATTAACTCGCAGTATTAATTTCCTTTAAGAATCATCAGCTTGCAACCAATATAATTCTCTTTAGGTTTTTTTTTTTCATAGGCCCTCTGCCTTTATTTCGAACGCATCTTGCAGAATATAATTTTCCCTTTTGAGTGCAAGTAAAAGCGAATTTTGATTTGAATCGCAGCAAGTTGGGTGGAAATTTCGCACAAACAAAAATATGTATTACGCTCGTCAGTCGATTTTCTTTAAGCTTGCAAAAGAGTTTTCATCTTTAATTATAATTTGCTTGAAATGTTTTGCTTTCAGCGCATGAACTTAATCTGCCTGAAATGTTCTGCCCTCCCCAAAGATAACAAACAGAAATATTTTTTTGGTTTGTCCTTGTTTTTGTCCTCATACTGCTTAGTTTCACTATAAAATTCAAAGCAGTTGGCGCCCATTTTGATTTTAATTTTTAATAAACAAATATATAGGTACCTACTTTCTAATTATATTTTTGGTTTTATAAATGATATCTAAATATTGACTTTATGGTATTTTATCTTATATTTAATTTATATTAATTCTTTCTTAGATACCAATAATTCTTTTTATTTTTTGATGGTTGATTTACATTTTTTTCTATTTTCAATTTTGCCTCTATTTATTGAAGTCTAGGTTTGAGAAGATAAAAAAGTATGGAATTTTTCGCTACGGTTCCCAGAGAAAAAGAAAAGGAAATCTATAGCCTAAGTAGGTATACAAATATTTTTACCAAAGGGGAAGTTAAATATTTTATATAAATTACATGAAAATGGTGAATTATTGATTTTGCATTATTGTTCCTATAGAGTCTGTTCCGACTTAAATATTGATTAACGGTAAAAAAGATATAAGTTATTAAAAATTACCAAGGATATGTAACCTAAAACAGGGTTGGGATCTCATTATTTTTAGCCACCACTACCCTTGATAAATTCTATTAAACGCAGCGGCTTGCTTAAGCCATGGGCATAAATTAATGGTGGTACCCTTGGGTGTCCTGACATTGGAAATTAGCAAGCACACTGCTGCCCACGGTGACCCGAAAAAAGTAATCCAAACTGACAAGTGGAAGTCGAGCTGGCGGATATAAAAATGCCCGGCATTGGCGGAAAGTGCATCACATCCATTCTAGCACCAATTCCAGCAAGACCAAGATGTTCCGCTCCGCAATCCCAGTGCTCCTGATCCTGCTCCCAGTGCTCCTGCATTCCGCGGAGTCGGCGAACATGGTTCGAGCCTGTGGATCCCAACTCACCCAATTAATAGAGATGGCGTGCCCCAATGGAGTCAACGGAATGTTCGAAAAGCGCGGCTCCCGTGAGTATTTGCGGCTTTTTGGCTTTTCTGGCATTTTGGCATTCGAAACGGAACGAAACGGAGTTAACATTTTTTCACTGCCCTTTTCAGTGGGTCTACTCGATTATGAGGACAAGCTGATGGCAATGGATAATGACGATGTGGCCTACGAACCCCATCATTCCCGAATTAACTCAATAGTTGGAATGCGTCGCGATTTCCGGGGAATTGTCGACGACTGTTGCTATCAACCGTGCACCCGTAAAACACTAATGTCCTACTGCAAGGAATAAATCCAACCCGTTGTTATGATACCTCTGACATCTAAAAACACACGAGAGACGACGATTTGTTCAAAATAATTGTAAATGCAAGCCTTGGATAAGCACAAATAAAATATTTATAAGCGCAAGTTTAACCACTGATTTGAATTTTTCAAAAAGGATTTTGAATTAAGAATGATTTTTATTATATTTTTATTATATTATATTATTTCCTTCACAGCTTTTCTTTCTGAATATATAATACATATTATTTTCATTTATTTCCAAGATTACCTAAGGAAGTTAACCCATTTAAATTTCAAGGATTAACTCGCTGTATTAATTTCCTTTAAGAATCATCAGCTTGCAACCAATATAATTCTCTTTATGTTTTTTTTCATAGGCCCTCTGCCTTTATTTCGAACGCATCTTGCTGAATATAATTTTCCCTTTTGAGTGCAAGTAAAAGCGAATTTTGATTTGAATCGCAGCAAGTTGGGTGGAAATTTCGCACAAACAAAAATATGTATTACGCTCGTCTGTCGATTTTCTTTAAGCTTGCAAAAGAGTTTTCAACTTTAATTATAATTTGCTTGAAATGTTTTGCTTTCAGCGCATGAACTTAATCTGCCTGAAATGTTTTGCCCTCCCCAAAGATAACAAACCGAAATATTTAAGCTAAGAAAATGTGCCAGCTAAGATAAGACGTTTAAGAATTTATTAACAACAAGGTCGACAAATTATCTCTAAGCTTAAAGCTGCTAGTCAAGTGAAAAGCAAAAAAATAAATACCATCCTTCATTTAGTTTGGCATTGACCCTTTTCACTCTTTCCTTTATTAAAATATCACCCACATCTGTTGGTCGCAAAACAAATAAGTTAATTAAATTCAAGCAATCACAAACATTCTGAGAACCTCATTTGCCACAAGCACATATTTACTCAAAACAATAGAGCGATTCGTTTCATTGAATTTTGATTGGGGTTTGCTCAAATATTTGGCCAACTATTTAGTGGCGTCTGACATTTAATAATTAGTCGTCAGGGCTAAACTATTTTTCTTTTTGTGGTTCATTGGTTAACTGTGTGATTTCCCCGTGATTCACCGATGGGCAGAAAGTCAAGCGATGCCTCAGAACTTTTGGCTAGACGCCTGCCGCTTGTTTGTTGACATTGTTTTAGTTGTTTAGTTTAGTTTAGTTCCCCTGCGATCTGCGATTCTGCTTCTGTTGCATTAAATCAGCGCATTATAGCATTATCGCTGCCGAGTGACTCATCGACCTGCTGACGTCTCGGTTTATTTTAAATGCAGAATACACATACAGAAACTCATAGTAATTTAGAGGTGCAAGTTTAATTTGACATCTTTAATTTATGAGTAATTACTTAATATTATATATGAAAAGGTTATTTGAAATTAAGTTGTTAGAACATGTCTAAATATCTCGTTTTATTTAAAAAGCGTCAATGCAATCACAAAAAACATAAATTATGATATTAGTATAAAATGTAATATCAATATAATTCATATATTTTATTTCCTTATCATCGTTATAATCACTGAATCCTATTATTTATTTTTAGGGATCTAAAATAAACCCCTCTTCCTTATCATTTTATTTCTCTTATTTAGCCACTTAAGATCCCTTAAAACAAACAAAGATCAAGTGTTTCCTTTGAAATGCTCCTTTTTCCCTTTACACACTCGACTGGTGTTATATAAAATGTATTTATATGATGCCCCCGCTTCACGTACATATTATTTTCCAAGTTTAAAGTTGGGCGAAGCGAAGCCTTGGCTCAGCTGTTTTCGGAAAAGTTGCTCCCTAATACGGGAAAACACGTTACGCACACTCACGCGCGAATATGCGAATTTGAAAGTTTTTCGTTGAGTTGAGTTCGAGTTCAGTTTAGTTTTTCGGGCCTTTTGGTAATTAAATTTAAAGACTCCGTTGCAGTTGAACACGTTTTGTCGCACGCATAGTCCCCGAATAACTAAAAAGCCACTTAAAGTTTTTGCTCACCAGAGCAGATCGCACTATGTCTATATATCTATCTGGCGGATCGGATCGGCGAGGTGAGTGGAGGTGCGATACGCTGAGGCTGAGGCCGGTTTATTCAAACAACAATTGCTGACAACAATGGCAGAGAGATAATGTTGTTGCTGCTACTGCTGCTGCTGTTGCTGTTGCTGTTGCTGCTGCTGTGGCGACAACAGCAACATCATCACCAGCTAGCTACAAATAAATTCGTTTCGAGTCGCAAAAGCATCGCTGAGATACGCGGCGCCGTGCTGCTTATAAAGCTTTTTGGTAATTACAATTAAACGTCAAAGCATTTAATTGTGAAGCTTGTTTTTGTCCTCATCATGAATTTTCGCGTATCTCTCTGCCACAACAAATTGGCAGCAGTTGCAGTTGCATTCGCAGTCGCTGCTTGCGTCGCTGCCTCTGTCGCTGCTTCTGCCGCTCTGCCTCAGTCGACGCTGCAGTCGCGCTGCACTGCACAAAAGTGGCAGTGGAGCGGGCTCCCCCTCCCCCATTTAATCCCCCCTTGGCCGCCCACTAATTAATGTGTTTTGTGCACCTGTTTTGTGGCAGCGGATTTCGTAGCTGTCAAAATAGAACAAGCAAAGTTGGAGGCTTTTCAAGGGGTTTGTGTTACCAAAACACTTCCAGTTCTGCTCCAAACAAATTAGGATTTAAGCTTTTTTTTCCAAAACAAAACACTATAATATACTTTTTATGTAAAGAAAATATATACCTATTATTCTATATTAAAAATAAAACAAAGACCATTGTAATCACAAATCTTCTTTCTGCTTTTTAAAATCAATTAAATTTTCAATTTCAATAATGATTGATTAAATTCAAACAAAATTAATTAATTGTTAACCAAAGAAAATATTTAAAAAAACATTGCCTATTTACAAATAAAAGATTTGCTTTTGTGGTAAAATTCAAACAATTTATAGTTTCTAAACATTTGATGCTTTAAACTTTTAGAACAGAAATTAATTATTGCAAAATATGATTGACATTTGGCATTGTGACTTTTGAATTTAAATTTGTTTGCCTTTTTGTAATCTTTGGTGGTTCTGTTAACCTATTATTTTTTTTAAAGCAGCAATCAAATGGCTTTATTTAGGTCAGCTTCGCTTTTTGAAAAGAGTAATTCGCAAATTAAACATATTTAATTCCCTCAAAGGGGCTAGAAATTGTACTAGAAATTATGCACCTCGAGTGAGCGTAAAACAAACGCGGCAAACCTTTTACGAGCCCTCTTTCCCAGCTGGCTGCTTTCATCTATTTTATGAAATTATGCATTTAAATGTATGGTAATCATTTCGCTTGAGAACACAGAGGGGCGCTCCTTCTTTCTTATTTTTTTCTGATTATTCTGATTATACTTATATATTTTTTTTTTAATTTTTTACCCCTCCCCCTTCTGTACTCACCCCTCGCCGCCGAAGGCTTTCAGCTCGCGGTTCAAGGTGGCCTTCACGTTCTCCTGGGAATAGAGGCCCATGGGCGAGTTGAACTGCTTGTGCACCAGTTTCCGTTGTAGGGCGGCCATTTTGTTGGTATATATCTCTCAATATATATATATATCCTTAGTGGACTGCTTCTTCCTGCGGACTTAAGTTGCTCCTTTGAAATGTTTAAGTTCGGTTCCGCCTTGGCTGACTTTTGTTTGCCTGGCAGCCTTTTCACTTCGGATGTCTTCGAAAGTTTTTCAAAAATATTGTTGATAAAAAATATTTTTTAAAATTTTCTACTCGACTTAAGTTCGCTTATCGCTCGTCGTTTGTTCTTGTTCTTTGCTGGCGGTAAGTGGGCGGTCTAAAAAAGGAATCCTAAGCGCTTTCCCCTACTTCAGTTGGACTTAATGTTAATCGTTAATTGTCGGTCGTTGTTCGTTCTGTAATTGAAATGCAAAAGAAAACCAAATTAAATGGGATAATGGGGTAAGTGGAAACCTTGTTCGAACAGGAGTTAATTGAAAGAGAGGGAATGGCAGCCTTTTATGACTTTTAAACGTATATGATACTTATTTTCCTTATTAGCTATAAAGAAAATTAAGCAACTAATTAAACTAGTTTGCTAATTATTCATTTAACAGTTCATCTAATATCTATTAAAATATATGAATGTATAAAATCAAATAAAATACACAAAGCAAACAACTATACAGACGATTAAGCTATTAATTAAATTAAGTTAGCTAATTATTAAATTAAACAGTTCATTAAAACCCAAAAAATACCTATACATGTATATATAAAATCAAATAAAATACACCAAGCAAGCACATTTAAATAGTTTTTAATAACAAAACGTTGATTGGTTTTGTAACACCTAATTTAAACCTTCACGTGTGATTTCCTCTTACAAATGGCATATAATATAATTTGTTTGTATTTAATTGCTACCTAAGCGCTTTTATTTGTTAATTCAGCGAACCCCGTAAAACATATCTCTATATTCCCATACGCATATATAAAATTCCAATTATAAACACAAAATAAAAGTTTTCAAACAAGAGCAAAATAATTTCAGACATTCTGAATTTCCAGCAGCACAAACACCTCAATGTCAACACTCTAAATATAAAACTTTAATGCCATTAAGAACTATAGATACACATGAAATTCATATATTTTATAAGACTCGAAATTGCGAACTGGAAATATTTGAAAGCCACTGGCGATGGAAATTCGTTTCGATTTTACAGCTGTTGCCAACAAATTACAAACGTTGGAATTTCTTGGGATATATTGAAAGTATGCTAAAGTACGTATAGTATTTATTTTTCCAATTTCCTGAGACACTCACTCACTACTGTCACATTTAGAAATGTATCTTAAACTAATTTGAGCACTGGCTGGCTGGGCAAAACAAAAAAATATTATATTTTTGTGTGTGTTTTTCAGACGTTTTTGTTGTCTTGCTATTTGTGAGTTGTCCTAAAAATAGCAGGAAAATATTGAAGTGTGCTCAATTTTTTCGCTACACTCATATTTTTCCACACACACGCAGACTCTCTCGATGTCTCTATTTTGAAATTCCCGCCTTGTGTGTCACCTCAAATAAAATTAGCAGCTGTGAGGAAAAGATACCATTATTTAGATTTGCGTCATTTC